CCTTCTGGTATTTCAAACGAAATAAAGGGTCTTCTCCTGCTATTATGATCCCAAGTTTGAAGACCTCATCAAGATAAAACAGATCCAAGAGTTTTGGAATCGAGTTCACATTCTCAGTCTCAACTAATATTCTTGCAAACTATATGTTCTCCCACCTCCTATTCCTAAAACCAAACCTTCTGAAGCTACCTACAGCATTTCCAATGGCCCTAAAAACCTGTGTACTCCAAGCATGTAATGGTATTCCATAGACATTGATCCAAACAAATCTTATCTTCTCTGCATCCTTTCTAAGACAAGGTGACCATCTACTGAAAAAAAAATCTGGGTTCCTTTCTCTCCCTGTCCTTTCCTTCGCTAGGGCTTCTTCCATTTCTTCTTTCCATCTGAAACTGAAGAGGAATAGCAATTCCCCCATCCTTCAAACACAGCAAAACTTAGGTTTCTCCACTCAGCCCTTGCCCATAACTCCACATCTTTGATATCAGGATCAGAGTGCACAAATCTACCAACTAAGCATCTATTTAAAAACTCCAATCTCTCTTGAACCTTGCCCACTTCCCTAACAGACACCTTTCTTCATAATTGACATTGATTCTAGCCACCTCGCAGCTTCCGACCCCAAGCCTCTATTCAACACCGTCGTTTCTCTGCCTCTGTTCAACATCACTGATCACCACCACCGTTCAGCATTGCGGTTCAAAAACATTCCAATATTACCATGGTCAAAATTCTTTCAATGATGGCCAATAGATGGAACAAAGGCAAAAGATTCTAGCATGACCAGGGAGTATTATTTTACCTCCTTGTTTTCTAAAATTGTTTTGTATAAAGCAATATCAGTTAAGATGGCAAGCTAATGACTATTTACCAGGAAAAAAGTGTAGATTACAAAGGCTTGGGGGTAGTGACACTTAGGCCCTTGAACTTCCGCTTGCAACAAAGATACCAACACTGTGCTCCTACCGTTAGCATTCCATTGGTTTTGAATTTTTATGAGACCATTTCACCCCCTCTGTTGCATTTCCAAAATCCAATGGCAGATGCTCTACCTCTTTCAAGTTTCAACTCTCCTTCGTTTCTCTCCTAGACAAATGAAAAGAAAATAGGAAAAGTTCAAAACTTGGATATTTGAGATGCAGAAAGGAGAGGGCAAAATTGTCTCATAAAAGTCAAAAACTGAGAGTATCCATTGGAAAGAGAAGAGAGTTGAAAACTGAAAGTACGGGGTAGATCTGTCACAAATGGAAGTTTGGGGAGATAAGTATAACTATCCCCAAAGTACAGGGTAGTTCTCTGTATTTTACCCAAAAAAAAAGAAATTTTAAATTAAACATAACAATAGAATCTTTTTTTTTTTTTTTGAGAAAAGGTAATGCATAACATAACCATAGAATCATAAATAATTTAAATACAAAAAAGATCCAATAAGCCAAGTGACCTAGAATGAAACAAAACCATATAAAGACAAAAAAGAGCCAATAAGCCAAGTGATCTTGAATGAAAGGGTCATTACCCAATGTTCGTCTTGACTTTGAATTCTCATGCTTGTCAGCTACTTGGTAGAAATTTTAAACTAAACATAACCACAGAATCATAAATAATGTAAATACATTAATATGATAATAAAGACAAAAGATCCAATAAGCCAAGTGATCTAGAATGAAAGGGCCATTACCCATTGTTCGTCCTGGCTATCCAGGGTCTAGGAAGGATGGACCAGATATGGATCTAACTTCGCATTGTTATTTTATTTTTTTTGGGTAAAATACAAAAACCTCCCCTAAAGTTTCTGACAAACATAAAAACTTCCCCTGTAGTTTTACTTTAGCAAAAACCTCCCCTGAACTTTTAAAGATCTTGACAAAAACCTCCCTTCCATGGTTCAGACAAAAAATCAACATAATTACAAAATTACCCCTGATTAATTGTTAGAAGTCAATAAAATATTTCAAAATGTCAGAATTGACCCTGCTTCCCCTTCCTCTCCCAATAGAAGGGAATGACATGAAATCCTTCCCCCGATCTCCCCTCACTGGCATGGAATTCTTCCCCTTCTCTCTCTCTCTCTCTCTCTTCTCCATCCCCACTGTCCCCACTCTATTCCATCGAGCAGATTGAGTCAGAGCAACCAAAAGGCACTATTCATCTTCTTCACGGCAGTGAATAGAGTTTCAGCAATTGATCATCAGAGTGTTGAAGAACTTAGACGACCATTAATGGCGACGACAGTTAAAGTGCCCATTCGTATCAATATTCGATATGAATAGACCTGCAGCAAGCCAGCAACGATTTCAGCATCCATGTCTCTGTCCGTCTGTCTAAAGGGAAAAAAAAGAGTGTCGATACTTTTGCCTTTTAGCCATTTTGTATTGACTTACTTGGAGGAATCTAGTCCGTTAATTAATTGCTGGTCGGCTGGGGTTTCTGCTATTAAACAATGTATTTTCAGATCACACCAATGGAACTACTGCGATGATTGATGTACGACTTCTGCTTTAAAATGAGTTCTAGCATCTCTGTGTCGTCTCTATGTTAAATTCATGAAAGTGGATTTAAGAACTTGATGTTGTGATCATGTAAGTCTGTAATTAGGTGTTTGTGGGTGTATGTTGTATAAGTCAGAAGTTACAGCATCGAAGTCATGACGAGAGGTGCTTGCAAGCCTTGTGAAGGACACAGGGATAAGATACGCTGGCGACGGAATTGGAACCACTCCAGCTTCTCTAGAAACGAGAAGGGCGGATTTTATAGGTGTTGAGGGGATCAAAGGTGATGGTGCTGAAGTAGAGAGCCTAAAGGATCAGGTTAAAGGATTTCTGAAAAGTCTGTAGCCGAAATGCTCGAGGAGTTGGCCAGGGGTTACAGGGAAAAAGTGCAACAGAGTCTTGGGAATGAGGACTCGTAAATTGTTAAGAAGTTGGGAGGGCCTTGGGCAAAGGTTTCTAGTAGGCTAAGTTTTGGTCCTCTCGTCTTGTGAAGGTATCACTACTGGTGGACTCGCTGCCATTGCTGCCAATTGTAGGTTTGTTTTTCGTTCACTACTCATTTCTATTGCTTTATGTTGGGCAGCAGCTTGAAACTAACTTTTAATAGGTTTAGCTAAAACCTGAAGTTCTCATGAGAGAATGAGAGAGCTTCAAGGAGGATGCCGCTGACAGTTGCTGAAACTCTATTCGTTGCCACCGTGAAGAAGATGAACAGTGCCTTTCAGGTTGTTCCAACTCAATCGACTCGATGGAAGACAGTGGGGATAGTGAGGATGGAGGAGAAGAAATCAACGAGAAAAACCAGTGAGGGGAGCATTGGGGGAAGGATTTCACGTTATTCCCTTCTATTGTGAGAGGAAGGGGAAGCAGGGGCAATTCCAACATTTTGAAATATTTAATTGACTCCCTGACAATTAATCAGGGGCAATTTCGTAATTTTATCAGCTGTCTGTCTGAATCACTGATGGAAGGGAGGTTTTTGTCGAGACCTTTTAATGTTTAGGGGAGGATTTTGCTGAAGTAAACTACAGGGGAGGTTTATGATTGTCAGAAACTTTAGGGGAGGTTTTTGTATTTTACCCTTTTTTTTAACAGGGAAAGGATACTCTTAGACTTGACCCCGAATTCTCATGCTTGCCAGCTACTTGGTCAGTGAACTAGCCAGTAGAGCTCCTAAAAACCTAGTCAATCTAGTCACTGCTTTACTATGCTGTTATGGAGTACAAAGATAATAGGTGGTACCTATTTGCTCAGGTCAATCTTCTGGTATAACCATATAACAAAAGACCATGTAGACGATCTTCGACCCTACAACTTTTAGGTGGCCTAAGAGAAGAGGTAGAATTTTACGGAGATGTGTTAGGGATGCTTTAGTATGGACAGTTTGGGAGGAAAGAAATGACAGAATTTTTAATGATACAGAAAGGGATGTAGATACTGTTTGGGAATATCTGCTAATAAGGGCTATTAGCTGGGCCAAAACTTTGGATTTATTCTCACTTTTCTCCTTTGATGACATATGGAGAAACTGGGAATCTGTTGCAAATTCTTCTTCGGTTAAGGACAAACCTGTTGTAGACTGGAAGCCACCCGAAGACGGCTTCATAAAGCTCAACTTTGATGGCAGTAGCTTTGGCAATCCTGCACCTTCTGGTATTGGGGGTGTATTTAGGAATGAAGAGGGGCAGATTGTGGCCTTATTCTCAGGCGCAATTGGAGTGGGGGATGCAGTTAGTGCAGAGGTGCAAGTTGCTTTACAGGGAGCACAAATTGCTAAAGAGTTGAACTTTAGGAGGTTGATCATTGAAGGTGACTCTAAAGTGGTAAATGGGTGGCTGAAAGAACCAGAGACAATAGCCTGGTCTTTTAGGGGAGAAATGAAAAGATTCAAGTGGCTTACCTCTAATCTCACAGTTAGAGTTCAGTGGGAGAGGAGGTTAGCAAATGGGCTGGCTGACCTACTAGCTAAGCAAGGGGTGAACAGGGATCAATTATTCTGGGCTCAATTGTAATTTTACTTTGTTTTTAAGGCAGCAACTTGTGCCTCCTGGGAGAACTTACTTTTATTGTTATTAATAAAATGCTTTATTATTCATCAAAAAAATGTAAGCTGGTGCATGCCAACGTTACTCACATGTTGGGAGCAAAATAATTTTTTTCATTATAATCAAATGATCAGTTAATCATGTTATTGATGACTAGATCACAAGTCCTTAATTTCACATAGAAATAAGAATATGCAATGCATATATTATGAAATATCTATCTGGTCTAAACTAGAAAATCCTTTCACCACCAATTAGTATGACTAGAAAAAGCAGACAATATAACTCACAAATACAAATTAATTTGTAAGCGTGAAATAAGTTGATTTAACCACTGGAAAAGAGGATATACAGTGATGCATTGTTACTAGGAAGTCAAAACAAAATGAAAAGAAACCAAAAAAATCCCACGAAATGTGACCAGATAGAAAGAAAAAATACTACAGGTAACTGATGTTGAACTAACCCAGCAGTTTCTGCAACCATAGGATCCGAATGCAGAGGATTATAATCTCCTGATAACCTGTATAGTAATGCCTGCATGATCAGGTGGGTCAGACACTAAGCATCAAGAATGCAAATATCACTGTTGCTAAGGATATGCATCAATTCAAAATCCAGCTTGAGATCTCAATTTTTTTAACAGAATTTAAAATATATCCCTCGTTTATCAAAGTTTCCAAGAACTTGTCTTTGTTAGAAACTTAAGTATCCTATGAATTGAGCCCTGCTCGTTTTCTGGATTTTGAAGAGTGGAGGTCAGTCAATGGGATTTTGGTTCCCATTGACCAAGATATCCATGTTCATTTTTCAGATTCATGAGGGGCCCATGGAAAAATTACTTTCCCTGGGTATCACTTACCTGCCATCTCCTGGGTAGGCAAGTAACTTTCCCACCTGGGGGAAAGTTAACACATGATGGAACAAAATTGCCCCTTTTTAATAATGGCTTTTTATGGCTAAAATGGTCATTATTTTATTAACCTGGGAAACAAAAGAACATGGGTAAATGCACTTACCTGGTTAAGTTCACTTACCCAGGTAAATGAGCAAATGAAAAACGAACACGGCCTTGGTCCTAACATTGTTCTGTTGTTGGGCCTTGTTCCATTGGAGGTTTTCGGACTTGACTGACCACATTACAAGCACTATAGAAAATTTTTCGGACTCAATGTACTAATACAGTAACATCATCTCACACTTTTCTCAAGATCAGGGTTTTCTTGTCTGAAAATTTTTCTAGATGTACTATTAAGAGGAGCAAGCTACAGATCTAATCTGCACCAAGACCTCAGTAACCAGAACATGGAGCAGGTATGGGAAGAATACGACAAAAATGCAGATGCAAGGTAATTTAATAAGTGATCCACAAGCAAATTATCCATCTCTGTAATTTCTCAGTTCAAATTTCACATGAGAACTACAAAGCAATTTTTGTGCAACTATTTCAGATATAACTTAATGGTGCATGCCTGAGATTCTTGAGTACAATCTTCATATACTGCAAAAGGTTGTTGGCCTTTCGTAATTTTAACTGGCAAAATTTGATTGGCTGGATATTTTGAGAATGAATATGGAGGTGATGATTTTGTGAATCCACCAGCACCACGCAAATAGATAGTCGTTCTGCATAATTATGGTTAAAATTCTAAGTAAATCCCCATTTTTACTTTAAAGCATAGTGTATCTAAATATCACACTGACCGATTCATGCACAATGGTTGACCAGAGTCTTTCTCATAACTTGTGGTTTCAATCTCAACAACAGCAGCTTTACCTGTAATAATAGATAACATTGCTTAAGAAAATATCTCTGCGTCAATAAATACTACTAGCCAAATATATAAAATGCTATCCACATTTTTTTAGGTCATGGTTCACTTCCATTTATTTGCGTGGATATAGGGGCAATGGGAAACTTCCATTCACAATCCATAAGCTATGGTTATTTTCATTATTTTCTGTTTGTTTCAATACCCACAAATTAGGCTAACAAGAAGACAAGTTGAGCAGCTGACAGTTGCTTTGACCCCTCACTAATCACCTTTAAAGTACCTTTTTCTATTAGGTACTTTAAAGGTTAGAAGTCAGGTGGATAATTATCTTCTTTACAAAAAGCTACTTTACACATACAAGTTATTTATATATTTAAGGCATATAATATACTGTATTTACATATGATACATTCAGTTTTTTTTTTTTTGTGTGGCTGCTGATCACTTGAAACAAATATCAGGATGTGGTAGACTCTTCTCCATCCCCTCCCTCCAGTGTTGAGAACATTATATGCTAGGTCAGCTCAGACTCACAAACTTGGGTTAGGCTCACAAACATCAATATCAGTTTAACATGTTAATATATCATAATATCTAAATAAACTTTTGACCTAACTTCACAACTAAGGTAATGAACTCAAGGTCAGCTCAACACAGATGACTTAGGTTAGGTTTGTATTGGGTATAGCAAGTATGTATAGAGCCAACAAGAAAAGGTCCAACAATACAAAGATTAGAAGAAAACTAGCCAAGAGTTCAGAGCCTTTATATATCGATTTGAGGTGCTATTAAGGATACAAAATATGTTTTTGTAATACATAAATGAGTTGAGAAGAACCAAAATTGAGTATAGCCTAATCAGGTTCAGGTTCAACTCATGCTCAGCTAAACAAGCTGTGTTTGAGACTCCACTCGGGATTGATTAGCAAGTCACAAAAATTGAACTCAGGATAGAATCATGCATAGGAAGAGTATTTAGAAACAGTTGTGGGTCAAGTCTAGCTCTCTTCTTAGGCCCTATAGGTGTTGGTGACTCCATTAGGGCCAAATAACTTGCTGTTTTGCAGGGCTTAAGAATGGGTAAAATGCTGGATATGAGGAATTTAACAGTGAAAGGAGATTTAAAGGTGGTGGTGAGATGGTTGAGAAATGATAGAAAAAGAGCATGGCATCATCAACATATTGAGAGGGAAATCAAACACCTAGAACTCCTTGTTATCGAGTTGGGATCTCCTGCCAACAAAACACGTTTCAACACCCTACCAACTTGATCTGACACCACATCTCACTATGAAATTGGGGCCCACCATAAAAGTGGGACCTGCCATGCATGAGATGTGCAGTGTCAGATCAAGTTGGTAGGTGTTGGAACGTATTTTGTTGGCAGGTGATCCGCACTCCTTGTTATCTTCATCTGGGTGTACAGATCAGCTAACATTATACCTGACTCTTTAGCAAAGGAATAACTTGTTTTGAGGGGGGGTAACTATGTAACTATGTAATTGAGGGGTAATTACCATTGTGCATAGCATTCTTTTTAACTTTCAATGATCAATAAAATTGACAAAAGTAACCAATAAAAAAAGGGAGTTTCATCCATAGACATCACCATGAATCATTTTTCACTTTTATCAATACCTTTTAGGCAAATCAATTTATTTGAACTACATTCTTTTGCACAATGCTCAACTCAACCAAGTCCAGTCCCAACCATATGGGATCGACTATGTGAATTACGCTCTGCCATTCCACTGTTCAGTTATGGGCCCTCAAATCATTTCTTACTACTACAACCTACGCCCTTCTTGGCTTGCCCCTAGCTCTTCTAGACCCTTCAACTTTCAACAGATCACTTCTCACTGGTGCTGTAGATAGCCTTTTCTGCACATGACCACCTTTTGCACAGCACATTTACATCGTATTAAGTATATAAGAAACATAAAATTAATAAATCATACAAACATGTCTGCTTTTCAGGTTGTCAGACTTATCATGATAGAACCATAACATCAGTGTTAGAAATATCCCCCTAGCCTAGTTATATAGACAAAACGTAAATTCTTTGTCCAATAATGGAAACAAACCTTTGTCATGCAATCCTGCAATTGTCCCTCTGTTTAGTATCTGAAATGACAAAATGAAGGAATAAATATCCACTTTCCGGTCTCCGCTAAACAAAGATTGAAGCAATTTGGAGATAATGAATATTGAATAAAATATGGATGCAATAGGTTTCTCAGCAATAGTTTTAATATATGTTCTTATCTTCTTCAAAAAAAAAATGGATGCAAAAGCAACTAAAGAGGACTCCTGAAGCTAGCAAGTTTATGCAACTTCCACAAAAAAAAAACAAAAAACAAAAAACAAAAACAAAAACAGAAACAAAACAAAAAACAAAAACAAAAACAAAAACAAAAACAAAACAAAAGATAAATAAACAATAGACAATTAATAAACTTCCAACTTGATCCAGCTAACAATGTACTGACTCATTTTGAGAAGGAAGAATTACCCTGATATAATTAAAACAAAATCATATATGTTGATAGATCTCAAATTATAATTGGATGATTAATGCAGTAAAGGCACTTGGGAATCAAGTCATAAAAAAAGGCACTTACAACCAATCAATAGATTTTCTTCCATCATGAAAATAATTCAAGTTCATATATTCCAAATTATTTTCTTTTTTTTCTTGGTGGATGAGAACCTTCTGCCTACCACAAAAAAGCAACCACAGCAACTTAAAGTAACACAAAAGAGGAATTAATGACCCGATCCGCTTGCCAGGCACCAAATAAAAGCATAAAATGAGAAAAGTACCCAACAGTCCAATTACCAATAAACAGAAGAAAATATAAAGTTAAAACAAGAAACCTCCCAAGACCCATATTCATGGCAAAAAATGCCATTGAGTCGTGCTAGCATGTTTAGAAAATACCAAATAGGTATCTATTGTGATTCCTATCAACAACAATGATACTGACATTATTAAACATTTTATTAATGTATTTGGCATGTAGGCGTAATCATTTCTTGACCTCAAGTTACATGGCTCCCCTTATTGTCCAAGCTATTCCATTTCTTCTACCTATTTACATTTCACAATAGTTCAAAGCTTGAATCATGAAATAGAATTTGCAAACTATTGAAACTTCTAAATTTGTCAACAGAAAAAAAATGATTTATGCCGAATAACCAAACAAATTTTTCTTATTGATCTACCTAGTTATTCAGGGAAGTTTGGTAGTCAAAGATCATTCGAACTTTCCAATCAGGTCCTCAGGCACTAAAGAAGGTATATATGAGTGTGCATTTGAAGAATCATAAAAAGCAGATGTTGCAACTAGAAAATAAATAATTTGGTCAGATATCTTACACAGCCACTGGTTGGAAATGGCTTGTAGATTTCTATGTATTGTTGGCCATGTAATAGAAGACGTGGATCAAATCTGGTAACCACAAAAGCCAAAGACATGAATAAGTTTCCACTTAAGATCAAATGACAAAGCTATTTAATAACCAGCATAGGAAATTGTTTGGAAACCTGCTTAGAAGACAAGATAACTTAAATCTGGGATACAAATGAAAGATGAACGAGATAACCTTCTAGGGCTTCAAATGGGATATAGGTAGATCCAAACTTGATTCGTTCATATTCTAGTTTGAAACAGATCTTATCCATCAAATTTATATCAGATTTGAATCAAATTCAGATTTCAATTGGATATTGAATAGTATTAATAAATTAAACAAAAAAATATCAAAATATTATATATTATTAATAAAATGAACTAAAAAATGACTTCATTATTGTATTTCATAAACAAAACGAATTAAAATTTACTTGTGTGAAACTTGAACATATGTCAATTTAGTTAAAAACACAACATTCAAGCCAGCCTTACTAATAGATACAATATAAATTTTAAGTGTATGTGTATATCAAATGAGATCAGATAGGGGTGGATTTATATTTGATCCAATTATAAATGGATCATATTTGGACCACTGTTATAATAGGATCAAAATCAGATACGAATTCAGACAATCATATACAATTTACAACCTTATTGCTTTCACTTCCTGGATACAGTATACTTACTCTAACCCTGGTATCTGTTTGACATATCCCATGTTTCCAAGTGTAAATATAGCTGCAAAAGTTGGCAAGACCTGCAAATGAACAAGTCCAACAGTAACATTAAAAAAATCATTTATAAGAAAATATATTTTTGGTGCAAGGTATAAAATTTTAGTATGATAAACATAGCAAAAAACAATCAGTTTATGACCATAAAATTTTAGTATAACAATAACAATCAGTAACATAGAGCTCTGATCCACTACCCACACGACTCTACAGCAGCACACCAGGAACATCTCTCCACTTGTATGTATGTTGTCATTCATGGGGAAATGTTCCTGATGTGCAGCTGTAATACATTGTGGGTAGGATGTTAGTAGCGTCTTACAGGTAGCAGTTCCGGAGTCGGTAACATAACCTCTTATATTTTGTTTTCCTTGTTTATTACTAAGACCAATTCCTAAAATGCTGTCAATATGGTAAATGGTGCTCATAATCCCCTTTAGAAGCTAGCATACCTATAGAGGGAAATTGAAGGTAGGCATCGTAACATCACCTTGCAGGCATTGTAACAACCAGCTTTCTGGTGGTCTTGCAAATATCACCTGCAGCTCTCTCAGTTCCCAGTTTTTCACTAACATAAGCATGCTACATCAGAACTTTGATTTTCCTATCTACTTAGCTTTTTCTAGGATAGGGTATCTACGTGCCTCCATTTAGGTTTTTAAATTTGGTGCCAAAAATAAGAAAAATAGATTTCTTGTAAAGCACCAATTGTGTATCCAAGTATTTGAGATGTTCTTTTTTTTTATTGTTAACGGTAACTTCATTCAATATTAGAGATCAAAATACATCTGCCACACACCGAAAAGGTGTTGACCCTTTACACGAAATGAATTACCGCAAGGCCCAAAAAAATCTTCCCTAGTAACCCCTTGTTTGGCTAAGGTATCAGCATCTATTTGCTGTCCTTCTAACCAATCTAAATTCTAAGGGATATACCAATCTCCCATGACAAACACTTTATCTCCCTCAGAATATGCATATGTGTCCAACTCACTAGATCATTTGCTTGCATCCACCCTATTACCAGCTAGGAGTCCCCTTCCACTTCAATCTGTCAAAGTTTTAATTGCTTAGCCAGTCTCAAGCCATGGAGTAGATATTAAGGAAGGGATTAAAAAGAGTGGGAGAAAGATACATTAAGGAGTGAATGAGATACAGAGTGATTTGCTTGCATCCACCCTATTACCAGCTAGGAGTCCCCTTCCACTTCAATCTGTCAAAGTTTTAATTGCTTAGCCAGTCTCAAGCCATGGAGTAGATATTAAGGAAGGGATTAAAAAGAGTGGGAGAAAGATACATTAAGGAGTGAATGAGATACAGAGTGATTAAAGATAAGTGAGGGAGAGAGAGGGAGTGAGGGAGGTTTAGGGTGTTATTGATGATGATTATTCTTTGAAAGTCATATCAAACTAAGCTTCCAGCTACTAAAAATATAAAATACCATTCAAATTGATCACAAGGTCAATATCTTTACCCTCATATTCTCTTTATAATATTATAGGTTTGATCAAATTTGGATCTTCTCCTAACAAAACCGATTCCAACACGCTTCCGACATGATCTGACACTGCACATCTCACCAATCACCATGAGACTGGGACCTACCATGTCTGAGATGCGCAGTGTCTGATCAATTTGGAATATGTTAGAAACTCTTTTTTTTTTTTGTGGAGAGCAGATCCAGTCTCGATATGATAAATGTTTGTCTCCATTCTTGTTTATGGTCCTCAAGAAGACCATCTCCAGCTGGGATCAAATTAAAAAAGCAAAAATGCTCCTTAATGATTGAAAATGAATTGCAGGTGTTCTATGACTAGTGTTGCCCAATATAAGCCATTTATTTTCATTTGATATAAATACATTACATTTATGTAGCTTCAACCCATGAGATCCCCGTTACATATAACAATTCTTAAAACTGCACCAGATGCATCATTGAACATCACATTTCTAATAGTGGACGCCCGGAGGCCCGAAACGCATGTAAGAAAAGGGAAGAGGACAGTTTGGTGCAAAACAAGTATAATCAAATTACAAGACCTGGATGTATGGCTGCCCATTTTCATGGTAAACATATTTGAGCTCCTTCTCATCCAAGGCATTCCCTCTACATGCTCCGATACCAAGAGCATAGAGTGCAACATCTCTGCTAGCAAGGAATATGCAATTGGCATCAAAACTAAAAGACGATCACATACATAGAAACATAAAAGAGAATAAAATAAATGAAAATATATTGGAGGAAATCAGGACAGTTAGGTATTTACCTTTCATCGTAAGCGAACTTCACCTATGGTGCATCCAATTTGTGCAAGAAGAAGGAATAATAAAACCAATAAATCAATGGATGAAGAAATTAATCTCAAGCAATATAAATTAGGGAAGAAAAGGTCGATGAGATACTCGCAAATATCCAATTATGAACCAAAAAAAAAAAATATGCTAAGAGCATCGAATTCGAAAAGTATAGCTAACTGGGATATATTAACAAACGCAATCAAGCACTTAGAACCACAACTAGAAAATGAACCTCAGGAAATTTGTAAGAGATTATCTTCCCCGGATCGAAACCCGAATTCTCAGCCATGAAAGTTACTGTAAACAGCAAAGACTTTCTTTAGTTTCTGCGAAATCAGGGTAAGATTTTAAGCTCATAGCTTCTACTAACTTGGAAGGGGAAAAATAGTGGTTGCAGAAGATGGGTAGGCGTTTTACCTCTGATGGATTTTATAAAACGTTATTCTTCGACCAGTAGAAGTGTAGGCCGAAGGAAGTGTTGTTGCATTCTCAAGCGGGAGCTATGGGTGCCCAGGTAGTGACACGAAAATTGGGACGGGAAGGACGAACACGAACGTCCATCAACCCAAATAAGTCCATTGCTGATGTAAGCCATCATATGACATTCACCTTCTTCAGAGAGACGAGAAAACAGGTAAAGTTAATATGCTATCACTTATCGGTTATGTTTGGTAGGTTTCCCGGTCCCCCGTTGCCGTTACGTGGGGAAGTCGACTGCCAACAAAACACGTTTCAACTTTCAACCCTCTACTAACTTGAATCTAACACTATACATCTCAAAAATGGGACCCGTCACATATGAGATGTGCGGTGTGAGATTTTATTCGTTGAGGGTTGTAATTAAGTTGTAAAGGTTGTAAAAGGTTTGTAACAGTGGTCCCTACTTTTTTCTTAATTTTTTTTTTCTTTCCCCTGTTTGGTTTGAAGGAAAGAAGTAGGGAAAGAAAAAAAAAAAGTTAAGAAAAAAGTAGGGACCACTGTTACAAACCTTTTACAACCTTTACGCAACTTAATTACGACCCTCAACTAATAAAATCTCACACCGCACATCTCATATGTGACGGGTCCCATTTCAAACAAAAATAAAGACACCGTTTGCCCGAAGCGGGCAAGCGGTGAGCTAGTAAGCTGGCCTGACCGATCGGTCGGGGCAGTTTTTTGATATTTTAACATTTTTGTGGTTCGGGCCTTTGGGGCTCCATCACTGCCTTGTTGAGAGCAACGAGCTACAGCTCCAAGAAATGTTAAATTTGGCATTACTCCAAGCCATGGCTTCCTGATTTTCGAGGCGTGGCTTGGAGTACCGTTTTTTATGGAAAAACGGTTTTAAACAAATGCCCGTTTCCTTGAGCACCGTTTTTTCCAATGTGGCGCTAATGTGACACTGTTGCTTCAGAAAACGGCAACGATGCCAAACAACCGCTTAAAATGATGATTGAAAACACCTCTCACAAATCTCCCACGGAACCAAGTAACAATTAACAATTGGCCGCGTTTGGCAAGTCTTTCCGCACGGGCTTCGGGCTGTTTAGAAGCCCGGAAGCCTGAATTTTGGGCTTTTCCCGTTTAGTAATAAAAAGATCGAATCGAGAAAAATTCCAGGCCATAAAAGACGCCAGAAAGCTCAAATTTTGGCTTTTTAAGGAAGCTCCAAATGAAGCTTTTACAATCTTTTAGTGCCTTATCTTCTTCAAACGTGTGGTACGATGCACACGCTTGGGAGAAAATGGGTTATCTTTCTACAAAAACTATTTGAATGTGTAAATGGGACCTACCAATGGTATGTGGGGCCCACTTTGGAAAATGCATGTGGGGCCCACATTAAGTATTATGTGGGGCTCACCTTGTAAAATATATGTGGGCCCCACATACATGTCCACATATGGGACCCACATGAATATCCACCAATGGCATGTGGGGCCCACCTTGTAAAATGTATGTGGGCCCCCACATACATGTCCACACATGGACCCACATGCATATCCACCAGTGGCATGTGGGGCCCACCTTATAAAATGTATGTGNCATGCATATCCACCAGTGGCATGTGGGGCCCACCTTATAAAATGTATGTGGGCCCCCACATACATGTCCACACATGGACCCACATGCATATCCACTACTGGCATGTGGGGCCTACCTTGTAAAGTGTATGTGGGCCCCACATACATATCCACACATGGACCCACATGCATGTCCACCAATGGCATATGTGGCCCACCTTGTAAAATGTATGTAGGCCCCACATACATGTCCACACATGGACCCCACATGCATAGCCCGACATACCATTGGTAAGCTCCACATAGGGGTGTTCACGGGTTGGGTTGGGTCAGTTTATTGGGGTTTTCCCAACCGACCCGACCTGGTCGGGTTACCTGAGGTGGAAACCGAAACCGACCCATTGATAGGCTAAACCGACCTGGTCAGTTTGAGTCGGGTTGGGTCGGTTTCGGTTTTGCTCCTGTACAAAAGGACACCTAATTGAATTCTAATTGTAATTGCCTAATGAGTTGCCTGTTTGGTGTAAAAGATTATAGAAAGTTAGAAACTATGATAGATTGCCTATTCTAATTGTAATTGTCTAATGGACCTTATAGTTCTAGTAGAAGACTAGTTATAGTTAAGTAGGAAACTACTCAAACTAGGAACTATCGAACTAGTAGAAGACTAGTTCGGTTCGGGTCGGGTTGGTTTCGGTTTTCACACAAGAAAACCGAAACCGACCTGATATATCGATTTATATATTTTCCCAATCCGAAACCGACCGGTATTGATGAAAACCCGGCCGACTCGGGTTGGGTCAGTCCGGGTTAGTCGGTTTGGTTGGGTTGGGTTGGGCATTCTTATGAACAGCCCTAGCTCCACATACATGTCCACCAATGGTATGTGGGTCCCACCTTAAAATATGTATGTGGGTCCCACATTTTAAATGAAAGTTTTGTTGACCCAGACACAAGACATTCACATTACCAAACGGTCTTCTAACTTTTATGGTCTTTTATGAAATCTATGTAAAATATTTTAACCACACAGTCTTTGGTATTCCAAGATTTATTTGCAAAAGCTCACCCTATCTTTTAACCATCAGATCTTGCAACAGATCTTCTGGAAAAGACTTGCCAAATAGGCACAAATAAATCAATTGACCATTGTTGGTGTATTAGCTGATTGGTTCCAATATTGAAGCAAAATCAAATCTCACAACCAACACTTTGAGGAAAAAGAGATCAAGGGGAAGTTATTAATAGTGCATAGCACATAATACTAAAAAGAAATTAACAAATAAACCCCTACAAGTTTGGGCAAACCCAAGGTTTAGGCTCAATTACTTAAATAGCCCCTCTTTACAATCTTATTGCATTTGTCCTTAACCCCACTCAAAGAGATCGGATTTGCTTCTCATTTAAGGTGCCTCATAGTGAATTGCAGTTGTGCATTGAGAACATGTTTCCATGAATGATAATACTGTGAATTTGAAATGAACATCTTTCCATGAATATCAAGTATGGAAGATGTTCTCAATGCACAATTGCGATGTGTTGTGAGGTTGGTGTGAAAGGGCACTGCATGAGGAGCAAGTCCAAATTCACTCAAGAACATTAGGGGTGTAATAATGCTGTGAATTTGAAATGAATTAGTCACCAAATTCAAATCTAATTAGAGAAATACTGATTCTAATTCGATTCAACATTACATGAATCTTTAAAATTGCCAAGCAAATTTGCACTATACAAGTGATGATACAAGGATTTGCATTATACATATTTTGTATTTGTACTCCTTTCAAACCGAGTTAATAGAAATAGGGTATTATCCTATATGTGAATATGAACGTTGCTGAGTTAATAGAAATAAAGGGCAGCTCTTTTTGTTTGGCATTTAATGATACAAAGTATGATGCAGTTTTGTTTGTGAGCGTTTGGTTAATACATGAAAACAATTGGAAACTCGACTGCGTTGTCGGAAATATACAGTTCCAATTTTAGTTTTAGCCAGTGTGTCTTGGCTCTGTTCTGATTTAGACAATTGGATTTATTGGAAAGATCCAAAAAGAGAGTTTTAATTCTGAAACCAATTAGCATTTGATTTTTACCGTGAAGCAAAGTTTACAAGTAAATAGCCTTCATAAAATTTGGTGATTTCAATACAAACACCAAAATTAAAATCTAACCAACTCACAAGTTACAACTTCAACAATGGAAGAACCTTCGTGAGTTTCAGCAGTCTTTTTGTGACAGATTGAAATTGATTAGCGACTCCAGTTGCAATCTAAATGAATCATTATGATTAGTGTTGACTGTTGAATGAAATTCTCAAAAACCCACTCAGTCCTACCAGCTGCTGCAGCCATTGGATTTCGTTTTCCTTTCTCTTGCACGTTCTCTCTCCAGAAATAGAGTTCAATTGTTGAAGAAGAGAGTTCAATCTTTCACTTGTTGGAGCTTTTAATATTTATGATCTTGATCTCTTTCAAAAAGAAATTAGCAGAATGGTCTATGAAATCCCTTAAGCCACCAATGTAGCAAGAAGTCATTTTGGTGTCTTAGATCGTTGGTTGGATTTGCGGGTTCAGAGGTCGTTGACAAAAAGTAATTATCAGATTTCACCATTGTAGTTGCTTTCCCGGGGGAGTTCTTCGAGGTGGTCTTCAAAGTGTATGAATGACGACGCTTGTTTACATCAATAAGAAAGAGTGTAAAAGAGGAATCGACTATAAAATCCCTTACCTTCAAAGTAAGAAGTCATCGGTGTCTTAGATCGTTGGTTGGATTTGCGGGTTCAGAGGTCGTTGACGAAAAATAATTGAGATCGGATTTCATCATTGTAGTTGCTTTTTCGATGGAGTTCTTCGAGGTGGTCTTCAAAGTGTATGAATGACGGCTTATTTACATCGATAAGAAAGAGTGTAAAAGTTTACTGCGATATAATCAAAGTAAACATTTGCATTTATATCGACGGAAATTCTAACATATCCACAAATTTACATCGATTTTGACAACATATTTAAACCATAAACAAACAGTGAAAAAATTGGACCAAGGTAAATATTTTTATCGAACCGGCGTTTTCGTTGTAAACAAACGCAGCCATATGTGAATATAAACGTTTCAATTGGTTCGGGTATTTTATCCCATTGAATTAATTAGGCCATATATGAATTTGATCCGGTAAATTAAAAATCTTTGAAAGCAATGTTAAGTCTATTGTTGACCTTTAGTTGGTGGACAATAGTGAACCACTATGGTGCATTCGTCACGTAAATGCTAGTTGCAGAGTCTGTCTCATCAGCTGGGGTGTTAATTGGACCGGATTTGGTCCAATCCAATCCAGTCCAATATGAGTTCATTACAGTTGAATCAGGTTTAATTCAACTCGATGAATATTTTGAATCAATTTGGATTAATCTGCTCAAATTAATTTTGGTTTAGATTGGTTTCGTTCATTGAGATTTGTATTGCCATCTTTTATCAATGGACTGGATATTGATTTAATACGATTCAACCCAATATAAATCCTTTACAGATAATCTAATAAGTATTTTGGACCATTAAAACTGAACTGATCCGATTCAATTTATGTTCATCCAATCTGTTAAAATTAATTTTGATTTGGACGGAATCCAACCCAAAAACAGTACATTGACACCCCTACTCATCAGCTCGATGGTTGTTTTGTTGGTTACGTCTTAAGAAGTTATTTCTTGGTCCCCCTCCTTTTCAAATCCATTGGGTACTGAATTGTAACTTGCTTTTGTTGAATTGATTTAGCCTAAAGGCTTAAAAAAAATAAACAGTATAAATTTAATATCCAAATTCGACCAATAACTATACTCAAACTATCCAAATTCAATCCATTTATTTCAAATCTCGAATACAAAATCAAACTTACAGAAACTGTTTAAACCCCTAAAGAGTACCAACCCATTTAATTTAATTAAAGAATTTAATAGGAGGAGACATACTAAAAATTCAAAGCGAAATGCATGAAAGCCCAAATAATGTTGCGTTTAACCTTTTAAATATGGAATAATATTGTCTGAAAGATTTTCTTTACAAAGGGGATAAGTGTCAAGTGGACTATTTAATTATTGGATATATTAATGCTTCATTGCCAAAACTCAAACCTGATTACCTCCTAAGAATCCTCCTGAAAGAAGCCATGCATTATGTAAACTCAGAATTTATGAAACAACCATTAATAAATGTTTATTAACCCTGCAGTTGACTTCCGTCCATGCTTGATTTTTTAAAATAAAGTTTTAAAACGTGACCCGGAGGCCGAATTGCTTTCCTATGGATTGTTGATTCATTGGTTGAATCATACGAGTCAACACATCAACCAATAATGTATTCACAAAAAAATAGAAAAAATAAAATAATACAAAAAGCCATTAACCATTTAATGGGTCAATAGCTGAACCAACCAGGCTGATGAATCATTGACCAAATCAACCATTGTTTTATTTATTTATTTTATGAGATGAAAAATTGGAGGTTCATCAAAACCGAAATTGTGAATATGTTATTATCAGATCGGTACCAATCTGACCGACCAGATCAACCAATGACCGGTTGAAATTTGAGAACATTGTTACAAACTTACATACTCCAAATCACTAAATGGAACTTCATAACGGATAAAGAGATATTGGAAGAAATCAACTCATCCTATCTATAATCAACAGTCAGTTGGCTAAAACTGAAGGGGAGCTGCCAACCCTAAAACAGCCTGTGTAGGATATGAACAACCATCTGAAGACGGCACACATGTAGATAGAGATGGTCCAATGTCCATTCAACGTTCCACCTCCACAATATGCAGTTTTGATCTCCTCTACATCCCGTCGTCTAGAAAGAGTACATTGAGAACATCTCTATTATTCAAGGTGTTTAAAATCAAACCGACAACAAATCGTTCAGGGGTCTGGTTCTCAGGTTGAACGGTATAATTGTTTGAAATGAATGGATGGCCCATCCTAACAAAAAAATTAAAAAGAAATAAAGAAGGACAAAAAAATCACTAGATGGTTCAAACAGTTCGGCCACCTGGGTCAGCGATTTGCTGACCAAATCAATGGTTTTTGGCCAAAATGACGGTTTTAGGGTAAAATGGAACTGGACCAGTTCCCAATTTTTCCGACCAGACTGTCCAGTCTGGTCCGATTTTGAAAACCATACTATTATTTGCATGTTATCATTCATGAGAGATATTCCCTATGTACAATTGTAGTGTCATGTGGATAGACATGGGTGGGATTATGCATTTAGGAGATCCGAATTGCTAGAAAGAATATGAATACGGTGATAACTTTAAAAGGTTTGATCTACATAAAATAACACAGTAATAATTAGTAAAAATATAAACTTTCCCCGACTCTTTGCTGATTTGAGTTTCAATCAACCACCATCGTGCTACCATTATTATACACCTAATGCTGCATTATAAACTTGACAGATAGTCTAAATTCCCTACATATTAATTGGCTTAAAAACTGATACTATCATTAAGGTTGTCAACGGTATTTGAAAATCCAATTTTGAATGCAAGATTTGACATAATCAAACGAATTTGGATAATTCTAATATCTAATCAGATTCAAATTCAGATATGACCTAATTAGATTTGATAAATATTCGAATTTGATCGATTATTTGATTCTTATATATAATATATAAAATTTTTAAATAAGATATTATTTTATATATTTATTAAGTACATAAAATAATTAATTGGTTGAATTCGAATATAATTGAATATTCGAATACTTTCGGATATCAGATTTTCTAATCAGATTCGAATTTGGATATACCTGATTTGCTTCGAATTCGATCCGTTTACACCCTTAACTATTGTATATGTTGTGGTATTTTGAACCATGCTCCCAAATGATGGATGTTATATAAATGAAGTGCCACTGATGTATGGATAAAGGACCAATTAATAGAAAATGAACAATCATTTGTACATTGAACATGAGGATACATCAATGTTAGGGGTTGAGACCATGGTTTTAAAATCATCATTTGATGATTGGATTGTTCGGCCAGGAAACTAGTCAAGGTACTAGTTTCATTTTAGTATCAAATTGCTATTATATAAAAAAAAAATGTTGAATTGGTTAACAAACCGTTGACCTAAATGGTTTGACCGCTAATCTGTTCGACCTAGACAACGATTCATCAATATATCATATTTAGTTTTCAAAAAATAAAATAGCAAAAAAACAATAAAACGAAAAAAGAAGGCTTAGATCTAAGATCTAAAAAGGAGAGAGAGAGAGAGAGGGGAGATCTGAGAGAGATCTTAGATATACTTTCGTCGTCGTTATCGCAACTGTATGTAACCGTCACTATCGCCATCACCACTACAAGTGACCTTCTTCTTCTTCTTTTTCTTACTCTCTCTCTCTCTTAGTCTTCTTTCTTTTCTAAGTTTTCTCACAGCCAACATAGCCTCTTTTCACTCTCATTCTCAACCCCATTATTACCCTAATATTCCAATCTAATGGGTAAGATGAGACATACATGATTGTTACTTGTCAAAACGTTTGAACCATCTAACCCAAATGGTTAAACTACTAACCCAGAAACCGATGACCAAAATGATTCCATTTACAAGTCAATTTCTAAAACCTTGGTTGAGACATTAAGGCTTAATTTGGAAAGAGTACTATTGTACTAATACAAATATGTAAAGTGCAAATCTTTGTATTTTGTATGTATTTTTACTACATATGCTTATATATGTACTCTTCCCAAAATGAGCCTAAGGGCCTTTCCATTTTCTCTTATCTCTCAAGAGGAATTTTACAACTTAAAAAGAAAATGAGTTTGTTTCCTCTTACCTCTTATCTATTAAAAAGGAACCTTACAACTTTTTGTTTTCGAATGATACCCCAAAACACAAACAAAAATTCTCATATATGAGGTTAAAATGGATATTTGACAATTTTCAAAATTCAAAACAACATTCTCAATATTAAGAGTTCAAACTTCAAAGGAAAGAAAAGTTCACACATACCAATATACATCTTAGGCTCTTAAGGTTCATTTGATTTGTAATCAGAATTGAAATCAAAATCCTTTTAAATCAAAGTCAAAATGGTCTATTCCTACAATTTCTTTGGTTCAAACAAGAATGAGAATGAAAATTGAAATCAGCAAGAATGAGATTTCATTCCCAAGGGAAGGGTAGGGAATGGTCTTTCCCTCAAATGAAGGAATGTTATTCCAGTGGAAATGGGAATGGGATTCTGATTCCACCCAACCAAATAGTTGGAATCAGAATAACTCATTCCAATTCCAATTCCAGACCCCTATTCATGTAAACCAAACGGGACCTTAATGTAATTATTACACTTTCAATCATCAAAACAAACAGACCTTGAATGGACAATTTTGATAAATCAATGAACAGCCAAATCAATAGTGTAATATATGGACTTTGGCATTCCAATGAACAGCCAAATCAATACGTTCCATTGTTTGATTGCTTATTTTTATCTATGATGCGGAAAAGATATGGTATGGAAAGAGTTATGACCAATCAAACCCACCCATGAATTTTGACAAATGACACCTTATTCATCACCACATTTTGATTTCAATTTATTGGTCAGTTGTTTTTGAGATATCACATCTTTTCCATATGATAGTAAAAGTCAAACCTTAAGTAGGTTAGGATTATTTTTCTCATGTGAAATTTACTTGTTAAGAGGTCAATAGAATCGGTAGATGTTTTAGTTAACTTACTTCTTAATAACTTTAGAATCAGCCTCGATCATTTCATTTCAACACAAGGTCCTTCCTCAAACTAAGGATGGCTCAAGCTTCGGATCACTAGTGACATGATTTGCTTGGTTCACAATCCAATCTTTGGCTCAAGCTCAATAGAAGATATTAGGGTCTGTTTGGTTCACAATCGGAATCAGAATCAGAATTGAAATCTCCACAATCAGAATTGGAATGATCCATTCCCATGGTCTTTTTGGTTCAAACAGGAATGGGAGTGGGAATTAGAATAAGCAGGAATGGGATTTCATTCCAAAGGAGGGGCAGGGAATGATCATTCCCGCAAATAAGGGAATGCCATTCCAGCAGGAATGGGAATGGAATTCCGATTCTGCCCAACCAAACAGTTGAAATCAGAATAGCCCATTCCGATTCTGATTCCTGACTCCTATTCCTGCAAACCAAACGGGCCTTTACTGATTCTGTTAAGCGACAACGAACTTTTTTTTGTTGCTTCACAAGAGACAACAATAAAATTAAAGAGTAAATTGGCCCCGCCCCTAAAAGAATACCTGCCATTTAATCCTGGCAGTAAACGAAACCATCTGAAATTGATAACTCAACTAATCTTTTGTAGCAGGGGATTTCATTCTGTAGAATGATAATATAGAAGACAAAAGGGCACGCCTCAATCCCCTGATCGGAAGTAGCAACGAGGCTCAATATTGCCTACTAATTCTCACATTCTGTCTTCTCTTTTCCGTGGGGCACAAGTGATGATTTCATCAACTCTGAGTATCATCTCTGCAGCTTCAGTTGCAGAAAGTAGCACAGCCTGTTTGACTTTGAATGACTCTGAGATTCCAAGTTTCTCCATGCCTCCTACCTGTGAAAATAGAGATTGAAATACAGTTACCCATAAAAAAGATACAGATTGAAACCATGAAACATGTAACTGCAAATCCAAAAACTCAAGAATGACAAATGAAGTTAAAAGTCCCTCGGGCATGCTAACTTAATATACCAATCCACATACCCAAAGAAGACTCTAGAAACGATATGTCAGTGGTATAAAGACAGGAAGTTCAACAAAACACCGAGTGGCTTCCACCAGAACCCAGAAATAAACAATGGATGCAAACTCTTTCCTCTTGTCGAAGTTGAAAAATCATGATGGCTCAAATCATGGTATGATTGTTAAAAAATTATGGGATGAAAGATATTTGACCAAGCAAAGTTCCTAGAAATCACAGACGGCAGAGCAAGACAGCTAGAAACGTTGAAAAAGTTATTGTCGTTTTGAAAAGGCATCTAGATTTCTTAATGGTTTAAGCTAAAAAGGCATCTCTTTTTTAGTCAGTTTCTTCTTGAGGGGGGTTAGATAGATAAATTTGTGAGAATATATGTAACCTAGTAGCTATGAACAATACTTAAACTTTTTGCTTCGATTAGTTATAACAAATAATCACAAGTACTTCCACTAACACCATCAACCGTAACAAAACCCTACAGTTTTTTTTTAACCACCACTTACTGCCCCAGAGAGGATGTCGATTCCAGCAGTACACCCCTCCTTGTGATGCTCTGCACGAAGCTGAGAAATCAATTCTGCACTGTCCAAACCTGCATTGTCTGCAATAGTTGTAGGGATGGCCTGTAAGGCCCGTGAGAATGCTTCAATTGCATGAGACTTCTTTCCAGGAGTCCTGCGGGCCAATTCATCAACTTCCTTTGCCATAACCATCTCAGGCCACCCTCCTCCAAGTAAAACTCTGCTGTCGACAACAGTTTGAGAGATTACACACAGGGCATCATGTAGAGACCTTTCAGCCTCATCAAGCACATGAAAACTGCAAAGATGACAAAAATCAAACTCAATAACTCGAGTTCAATTAAAAACAGGGTTAATTACAAGAATTGCAGTTTCACTACGACCCAACAGTGGGGCTTTGGTTATGAATTTCAGGTGCCATTATCCTGTCTATTAAAAATGAGCAATGATGCAGTGAAAAGGGAGACAGAACATTTGGCTGATTACAGGATCTCAAGTCATTGTACTTGTAAAACCATCAAATAGTTTTTTCTCTAAACAACCCAACTAAGCTTTATCTGAACTATAAGACTAAGAGGTCATCTACATGAATCCTGTTCTACCATTCTACTTTGTTCAGTGCCATGTCCAGTATTAAATAATTGATCTTAAATTAGTTCTTGCTAATTCAATCAATGTCTTTTTGGGTCTGTCCCTACCTCTTCTATATTCTTCAACTTGTAAAAGAATCAGCAATTTAATCATGCCAATAAATTAATGCAACTACCTTTGCCAAATTATTCAAATGTCCAAATTATAACACCAGAATACATCTCAAATTATGTCAACTGTTCAAATGATTATAATACTAGGATACATCTCAAATTATGTTTGTTGTGTAAAAGTTTTACAAGGCCAAGTAGACACAACGCAATGCAGATGGTTTCAATATGTCCTCTGTCAAATTAAATAAGTCAAACAAGGGAAGAGGAGGTTAAAACACTAGAGAGGGGCCATTCCGTTAGGCAATGGATACAGCAACAGGAGAGGGTGTTATTTAGAAAACCGTAAAAACAATATCCTTAACAAGTTAACATGTGGCGATGGTTTGTAAATTCAAGAATCACATACTTTTTCTTGCATCCAGTTCCATATTTGTATACATATATGTGCAGTCTAAAGCCTTTCCAGGACTCAAACCTCAATTAGGTCATTATGTGGTCGGTAAATAGCACATTGCATCAAATATAAAATAACAAATGAATGGATCAAAAATAACATAACAAATAATAAATAACAGTAAGAAATGGATACAGCAACATTAGAGAGGGGCCATTCCGTTAGGAAATGGATACAGCAACAGGAGAGGATGTTATTTAGAAAATTGTAAAAACAGTATCCTTAACAAGTTAACATGTGACAATGGTTTGTAAATTCAAGAATCACAAACTTTTTCTTGCATCCAGTTCCATGTTTGTATACATATATGTGCAGTCTAAAGCCTTTCCAGGACTCAAACCTCAGTTAGGTCATTATGTGGTTGATAAATAGCACATTGCATCAAATATAAAATAACAAATGAATGGATCAAAAATAACATAACAAATAATAAATAACAGTAAGAATATATATTGTATCCAAATAACAGGAAATCAAAGAAAGAGTCAAATATGTGTTGAAAGGAAAAAGAAAAAAAGACAAAATACATACCTAGCACCTCTTAATACTATGGTGCAAGCTTGACCCATTTCAACTCCAGAGAAGTGAATTAATTTGTCTTCACCAATCATGATTTCCTCAATGAGCTTGCAGTGCCCAAGCTTAAACGACTCTGGATTATCAAAGGTCGATGCAATCTCACCACCAGTTACCAGAGCAAGACGCTCAATTCCATCAAAATCAGCATGCTCAATCGCCAAAATTCCCGCATCTGCAAATAGTTCCTCAGGGAAATTGTAAATCAACTGTCTATTCACAAAGCAATTGGTCCCATGTGCTATAATCTTCTGCACCTTCTCTTTCATTTTCTCTTTTTCTGCCCCTTCAATCTGTGCAACCCGTGACATAGAATCAACACGAACACGTGCCCCATAGATCTTTACTTTGTCAGTGTCCATTGCAGTGTTTGCTACCAAAATCTTAGCATTTTCTATGCGCTTCGGTTGACCAATGCCCATCTTCTTGTCAAGAATAAATCTGCAAACAGAGAATAGGACTCCAATTAAGAACAAGGAGTGTATACAAGTGTGGGGAAACAGTAAAAGTAGTATCCCAGGCTCACAGCATCTGAAAGAGTGCAAATCAAGAAGAATGCCAAAAATATTTAAATCTTAACCAGGAATGAGAGTACATATTAGGTTCATAAGAGATTTCACAATGCTTGAAAACATTACATGTTTCTACATTTCTGCTAGATGCATCACATCAGTTAAAAGTGAACTTCCACCTCAGCAATCAAAATGTGGCATGACAAAAAAGACTAACATATCGACATTGAAAGACCAGAAGCAGATATCAAAAACATAAAGATACGTTAAGTACAAATTATGAATGACAAGCAAAACCTCAATCCAAAGCTTCACACCAAGAAATACAAATCATTTAAGTTGGAATGATGATTACAGGAATTAATGAGAAATTGGAAATTATAGAAGTTTCTATCAAAGAAAAGAAACAGTTATAACTTTGACGTATCCAAACAACCATAAATTGAAACCCACCCTTCATCTATAAAAGAATCTTTCAAGGATCCTCCAGGCTTCTTAATAATTTGAATAGCCTCTAAATTTGTACTACCCTGCCATTATCCAAGAGATAACGATTAATCAATATCAACCAAAAATAATAGTAGAAAATTGACATTGAAAGAATCATTCAAATTTCAAACCAACTTTGCACATGCAAACACTCACAGATAACAAAACAAAAAGGGGGAAGGCAAAAAGAAAATAATAACATGGAAAGGATAAAGAAATAGATTTCCAAGAAGATATTGCAGGAAACTGAAGATTACACATAAAATATAAAACCATTGTCTATCCACTGTATTGATGTAACAAAAGTGAAATACATGGTGAGATGAAACAGTAATAGTTCTGACACCAAGTATAATTTGCAGAAGAAGATACTAAGATGGCATAAAAAATTATTAGAATTTTGTGTCCTTTTACTATGAAAGAATGAAAGTACATACCTTAAGCCTCATAACAGCATCCACAGCAAGTTTTGCAAAGTGTTCCTTGTCCTGGGAGAGAATTTTTGAACTCAAAGTTGTCATTGCAATCTTCATCAAGTCTGCTTTGAATCTTTCTGCATCACCCCAGAACAAGAGAATACATGAGATTTCATAAACTTCTATCAAAAACTAAAACATGATAGAAGCTGTATATATATATATATATATATAGAGAGAGAGAGAGAGAGAGAGAGAGAGAGAGACTTGTGACTATTTTGAAGGGAAACAGGTACAATATAGAGGGATTTTTCTGAGGGTGGCAGTTTTTTTGAAAAGTAAAATCATATGTATTCGAGAACACCCCCTTAGGAGCCATTACATGATGAGGAACTTTTCTGAGCTCAAACTAAAATACTTAACACCCATGCTCAACTTTGCACTATCATAAGTTTCCCTTCTTGTGATGGCCCTTTGTTACATATCACAGGTGCAAAACCCTACAAAATGACATAAATGGATGGATCTGGCACAAGTTCCACAATTTAGAAACTTGCATAGTTTGGTCTTCAAAACACCATGTTTACAAGAAGACTACTACAGTAAGAAAAAAAGATAGCAATTGAGAAATAGAACTTGATATTCAAAATATAGTCAATTTATTACCTGCATCGTCTTTATTATCCATGACCCTCTGCAACAAAGCATTGCGGGCACATTCAGCTGCCATCCTGTAACCTAAAGGACCACACACGGAACAGTGGAAGGCACTAAAAAGGTAAGGATACTTGTAGGATCAATATATAGAGATAAATTCTTGGGAAAAAAAGAAACTGCTTTCATTCCAGGGACAAATGCAAAAAAAAAAAAAAAAAAAATCACAAGACCAAATTTTCACGATGATAATTGACTATGAAGATTTGAAGCTACCAATCCACATAAAGTACTACAATACTCATTGGAAATCCAAGCATATTTTCAATGTCACAGAATAAATGTCAGAAGAGAAAATTTAAATTTTGGGAGATTTCTCATCTGGGGTCTAATGTTCCGATACCCATGGGCAAAGCCCAGTCATATGCTGAGGTTGAAGATGAAATAATTTCTTAGGGATCAGTTTGGGAAGAGTACAAATGCAAATATGTACATTGCAAAGCCTAGTATATTGTATTTACAAACCTTGTATCTGCACTGTACATATTTGTATTTGTACTCCTCCCAAACTGAACATAAAGATTTGGGGGATATGACAAATATCGCAAGGGCCTAGGAGCATAACAATTTTACTGTTTTCCTTTCCATTCTCTGCTGGATTTAATTTAGGAACATTTTTAACTTATTTTGGATGTTTAGTTGTAGAAATTTGTTATTTTCACTAAATTTCTTTTTTAGACTTGTAGTCAGTGGATGCTAAAAAATACAATATTTATAGTATAGAGTCTTTTGTATCTAGGGGCCTGAGGCCCCATATCTGTTATATGCCAAGAGGATCAGGACCAACCACCAAAGGAGTCCACTAACAAATTCTGTGCACCAAAAAAGAAGAAAATCAGCATGATCAGATGGGTTAGAAACCCATGAATTTGGCAACACAATTATGATCCAGAGTTAGAATATAAGTAGCTCTGAGGATATGATAGCAAAAAAAGTTAAGGCTGTTCTCTGCCCATGGCTGTTAGTACACAAGCATTAGGGGTGTCTGCTATAGTTCTTTTGTCGGAGTTGAAAGTTTGTTCAAGAATAGTAACAAGAAAGAAGGAAAAGATTATAGACAAGATGCTGATTTTAGAAAGAAAAGATTAATGGAGTATAGCAGTACCTTAAGTCTTCATAAAATTAGGTTTTTGAACTGACAAAATCCAATTCCTGAATGAGTGTGAAGGCTTCCTATGGGGTGAGTGTGTGGAAGGCGATTATGAGTTTTAATAGGAAACTTAGAAGTTTTACTAGTTTTGTAGTTAGGGATGGGTCAAAGATCAGATTTTGCGAGGATGATTGGTGTGGGGTGGGCAAGCTGCACGAGTTATGCCCAAGATTGTATAGGTTAACTGAAGTTGAGGTTAAGTATCAATGACTGTTATAGAAGGGGGATCAGCTGATTTGGAATCAGAAATTTAAGAGACCTCTGCTGGATGAAGAAGTAGAAGAATGCATCTCTCTTCTAGAAAAACTAGAGGGTGTAAAACCTTCAAATCATCAGAGGGATGAGCTCTGGTGGAAAGAATGCAAAAATGGAAAGTTCTCAGTTAAACCTGTCACATGGCTCTTAGCAGGTCCAACACAGGCTTAAGTCAACTTAAAGGAATCTGGGGAAACCCAGTTCCACCAAGAGTTGAGGCTTTGGCATGGCTGGTAGCAATGGATAGCAAATTGACAGTTGATCATCTGAAGTCAAGAGGATTCCATATGGCTAGAAGATGCTGTCTTTGCGAGGAGCAGGAGGAAAATGTCAGTCACTTATTTATAACCTGCAAGTTTTCTGGTTTCTTATGAAAAGTGATCACAGCTATGTTCGGGGTTTCTGGTTTTCACCCAACTTCAACTGCAAAGATTTTTTCTACATGGCCCAGGCTGAGTGGAAGTAAGAAGGCGAAGGTGATATGGAGCTGCATTCCATTCTCCGTATGCTGGAACATATGAAAGGACAGGAATAGAAGAATATTCAAAGACAAAGCTTGCGGTATGGATAGGATGGTAGCTGCTGTTAGTAGATCAAGGCAGACAGGATGCTGATTCTTCCAGATTTCAGGCACATAGATCAAGAGGATTTGAGAAATAAGTTAGGGGAGGTATTGGGTTTTCAAATATGTAATGTGGAAAGCCTACTTTGATCTCAGTTTGTTTTGTTTATGGGTGATGACTTGCCACCCTTAAATTGTAAACTCTTTTTTCTTTAATGAAACTTTTACTTTACTTATCAAAAAAATAAAAATCCAATTCCTAAATGAGTCACTCACTAATCAGACACTCATTGGGCTTCTAATTTTGAGGAATTTTGAGGCCAGGCGGTTTGGTGTATGTTGGGAAACGAACCCTTCTTGTCTATGAACATTGAATAAGCCAAGGAAAAAACTCTGTAAGTAAAAAATCGCACAATAGGTATAACGTAACATATGAGTTTTACGCTTTTACCCATACAAACAATGGAGCTTTACTTCTAAAATAAGGCTCAGTTTGGAAGGAGTACAAATACAATTATGTACTGTGCAAATACATGCAAAATAATACAAAATACAAGGTTTTGTACTCTACAAATTTGTATTTGTACTCCTTCCAAACTGAGCCTAAGTTTTGCTAGGTAAATGATAGAGATTTACCTATGCAACAAAGCAAATAACAAGAACATGACCAAGATTTTTTCACGTGAAAAACACTCCAATATAAAGAAGAAAAACACGGGACCTGGTCCGACCACTCTTCCACTATTTTAAAGTAAATAACAGGCTACAACTTCTACAACAGAGGGATATCAACAACAAAAGAACGATCCTTATTTTGAAAACACAAATAATCACCAACACAACGTGCAAATGAACAAAATGAAGGAACTATCTCACCAACCATGGACTGTAGAAACCCTTCAACCCTTCAAAAGCTTGATGGAGAATTACCCAAAAGTACAGGCAAGTGGTTGGTGAAAACAACTTACAAAACACCCCAAAAGTGGATTGATTGCCCTTGTTTTCTCTCAAAGACGATCAACATTTTATTCTTCTCTTTTGTCAAAGAAGAATAGCTTTCTTCACCTTTCTTCTCTTTCTCAAAGAGGAAATCAAAAGTAGTAGTCTCAAGTGCTAGATTTTGTGAAACAATAATAACTGCTAGATGAGCAAATTATGGACTCAAATGTAATTTAAGTGAGCTAATACCCAACTCCAAACAAATATCCAATTCCCCATGTCATAGATTATTAAAGTAAGTTTAATTTACAGTTCCATTTTATCATCTACTTTGGTTTTAATAAAAGTTTTGCAACACATCATCTTGAACAAGCACGTTTTTTTACTGTCCCATTTTCACTTTTCAAGATAACAGAATTTGATTCCTTCACAACACAAACGCACACACACACATACACACACACACACACACCATTCTTACTTACAACCTTGAGCCTCTGACAGTACTATTAGAAATGGGAGTAGCCCAATAGGTAAAAAATGGGGAGAAGTGGTCTAATATGGTTTTGGCACATGAACAAAATACCACCTACTGCAGCAATAAGAAGAGGTCTCGCGGAACTTGAAGGTTCTAGAAATATTAGACAGGCCAAAAGGGACACAGGGTAGTGAGAAATGACTTAAATGCTCATAATTTAACAATGGATTAGGCCCTTGAGTGAGTGGAATGGTAAAATAGGATTTATGTAGACAACCCCATAGGAGGGCATAAAGCTCTGTTGAATGCAGTTAACCTCAGAAATTGTCAAGATGTGTTACAGAAGCTTAAATACATGCAACATCCCTCCGATTGTGTAGCCCCACCATTAAACCCGAAAAAGGCTTAAAATACATCCTTGTCAATCATGCAGAAAATATGACAGTTCAAGACATTGGTGGAAGCATGAAGGAACCTGAAATTACAGTCATCGGATGAATTTTTGCCGCAACCAGCTTTTCAGCCTCTCTTAGAAGTTCTCCAGCCAAGACAACAACAGAGGTTGTCCCATCACCAACTTCGTCATCTTGAACTTTTGAGATGTCTGATACCCTTAAATTAAGGAAAAGCATCAACCATAGAACATAAGCATGAAAAAATGAAAACTGATAGTCCTCTGAAAATAGTTAACTTATCCTATAGATTTATTGATGTAGTGATCTGGGGATTCCTTGAAATACTGAAAGAGACTTATTGATAAGTATATACTAGTATCATAAAAAGTCAACTACTAAAATAATTTGAAAAAAAAATAATAAACACCAATTATATAAGTACCACAGTTGACAACACTAGAATGAGACAAGTTAGGGTCCATGATCATATCAAAATGTGTGGCCAATGGACAACAAGTATATGAACCAAAAAGAAGGATACCAACAAGGACCTTGGCAGCAGGATTGTCAATATGAAGGGATTTTAAAATGGTAGCACCATCATTAGTAACAGTCACACTTCGACCCCGGCCTGTTGATTGTAAAACTTTATCCTACACAGAAAATGCATTTGAAATGGGCAAGGTCAGTTAAAATAAAAATAGAATCTCAGTATAATTGTGGATTCTAGACAACAAACAAGTACATGAAAAAGAAAAGTGGAAGAAAGAAAACTAAGGCTTACCATTCCTTTTGGCCCTAAAGTGGCCTTGACCAAATCAGCAATTGCCATAGCACCAACAAAGGATGCCTAAATTAAATACATACAAATGACTAATCAACAGAAAGGAATAAGGAGAAACCTCTAAATGCATCAGCATGGGTTTTTCTACCTAATCAATAGAACTTTGTATTAATTTTTTAACTATAGCAATATCTCCTACGATCAAAGATGAGTAAAAAACCATCCAAAAGAAAAGAAAAAAAAAAGCATACATCATCAGAAAGACCTCTAAAAAAAATTTCCGCAACAGTAACACGTCTATAAAAACTTGTAGGCATTTCTTACCAAAAGTGGAAAGAAAAACACACATAGGCTTCTAGAAGGGAAAAATGAGATGCTGTATTCCTAAAGCTAACAAATACAAGTCTCAAAACAAGAATTTATAGAGGTTTTAAAGAACAATAATAAATTACAGGAACATATAAATAAGAACGTAAGGTTCCAGTAAATAATATGTAAACAAAATAAATTTTATATAAACACACTTCTATGAGAAAGAATAGCAGTGAGGAATCTTAGTCAGTATCCAGTTACCTAGTTAAAAAAAAAAAAAAAGTTGAGTACAGGCGACAAGGGTAGAAATATAAAACGGTGACGCTTAAAAAAATACTCACTAGAACAGATAAGACTTGTGTGCATGGGCATTTATCAAAATGCATTACAGACAAGTCCGTATATTTTCAGATGCATATTCAGACACTAGTTTGCATGTATATCATTCAAATATAAGTTCTGGGACAGGATAGTGAAATGAAACTAACCATTCTGGCACGTTCCCCTTTCTCTTCAGTAGCTTCATCTTTAAACAGTTTGTCAACCTACAATAACTCTCAAAGCAAGTATAAATGCAGAATCAAGCAAAATCTTAAACCTTAAATTTTTTAGATTATCGATGAAAGCATACCGCCATAGTTAAGGTAGTGAAGACCCGCTCGCTCAAATTGTATCGAACAAACAAACTATTTTATGGAACAAACTAAAAAGACAAAAGAAGCAATGACAATTAGTACTGAAGATCCAGCAAACGAAACCTTTCCAGACGGTAACACATCACTTTCCCTAAATGTAAAGAAACTGAAGCATTAAGCTTCTATGCGAATGCATTCTTTTTTAAGGATGCTTAAACCTTGTAGAAATCAGGATAAATTGCATACCATTTTGCCAATATTGATGGTTGAAAAGGGATCGAAAATTTTAAAATCGTAAAAAGCGACGCATGAAATACGGAAACTAAACTAATTATCAAAAAAAAAAAAACGGAAACTAAACTAGGCCAGGTGCGAGTAGAGATGTTGAACATGAAATGAAGCAAAACCCTAAATTACATCAAACTTAGAAGTCAGTGTAGCTTCTAGGCATAAACCCTGAAAGAGTAGTAGAAAGACCTCGATCGATGATACACCAGCAATTGGCTAAAGAGACACGAGATGCTTAGGATTTGAATATTTTTCTTCGAAAAGAAACCCCGCCAAGCACCAATACACGAATAGTCAATTTAAGTTCCGCTGCAGTCTGATGTCTAAACCTCCTCACTCCCAGTGACAGTGAGGACTAAAGAACATGATATATGTGACCGAAAATTTATAATTTTCAATAGACTTTTCTCCAACACCGTCCATACAGTATACCTGTTATCGTCTTATCGATCTACGCCGTTAAAAGAGAGTCGTTTGTCAAAGTTCGTTTTTTCTCTTTTTCAACCGTTGATCAAAGTTTTGGAGGCCCAAGTGCGCAGGGAAAACTTTAGCTGTTTATACTGTTGAGAGAATCATGAGAATGCCACGTTACCATGAGAATGGATAAATTAGTAATTATATATTAATTTGTTTTTACTAAAATCCAAAGCATAGGCGTGAATAGATGAAAGCTTTAGGCTGGTCCATGAGCAAAAACTTTAGGCCAAGGTAGACAGCAAACTGGGCTAAGTTATGAGAGGTTCATTTTAAATAAAAATTGAAAAAGATGTTTAAATTTTTATTTCATATGATTTTTTATTTATATAATTGTTTATATATACAATTAGACATATTCATGGGCTGAGTAGCCCAACAGTCCGACTTGGTCTGATCCATTATTTTCTAGGCTTGGACAAAACTTAAGGCTTGTGGGCTTGAGCTCGAGCTTTCCCAAATAAGTCCAGCCCGATATCGTTACATATATAAAAAAGTACTTATGTTATATATAATAAATATAATATATATATATATATATATGTACTTCTTAAATTATTAATAAATATCAATTTACTATTAGGATATATAAATTAGTTTATTAATTTATTAAATTATTACTAAATTAATATAATAATAGTTATAAAAGTATACTGAAAATAAGACATTTTGTGTACAGATCGGGGTTCGGGCTTCGGGCTCAAGATCTATGACCAATGGCCAAGCCGGGCTCAGGCTTGGACTTGCATATTTTCTTTAAATAAAGAGGCCCGTGTTAATTATAAAAATATGATTTTTTACAAATTATTATTTTTTAATTCTAGTCTTATATAAAAAAATATAATATCTTTCTCTTTCTCTCTATCTATCTATCTATATATATATTTGTTATTTAAATATTATAGTAATATTTATCATATATGCATATAACTTCCAAATTGAGCTTATTAGGGGTTGTTTAGGTTGGACTCCAAAAGTTTGATACCCAATTAGACTTTGAATCAGATTATCCCTAATAATGTGTGGGCATGGTGCACATCTCAATTAGACCTAATTCAAAATAAAATAATTGCTTGAACTTGTAAATTTATAAATCTAATCGAGTTAGGTTAAGTTATAAACGACTTGTTACTTTTTTATTAATAATTATTAAAATAGTGTTAGCGATTAAAATATTGAAATTATTAAATTAATATATTTATTTAAAATACTGTAATTTTTGGAAATTATCATATTTTCAGAAAATACTGCTAATTTATTGGCTAAAACTAATTAAATGTAATTTTTAGGTAATTAAATGTAATTTTCTACTATTTATAGATTAAATTATAATTACTATTAATTATAGTTTAAAAATAATTATTGCTAATTATATTACTATTAATAATTAAAATACATAATTTTTTCATTATTATTTAGTATTTTTTGCAATAAAATACAATTAATTTAAAATTTTAATTAAACTATAGGTTTTTTATAATATTTGGATTTTTAATTAATTTTTGGTGTTTTTTCATTATTATTCATTAATTTTTTCATATGAGTACTTTTCAATAATTTTCAGTATTTTCATAATTTATTTTTGCATATTAGTCACTACAAAATTAATTTGCATTTACTTTCAGTAAAAATAAATTAAATCACTAAATAAATACCATAGTTAATGAAAAAATACATCTAATTTTCAATAATTTATAGCTTGGGTATTTTATAATAATTTTTGGTATTTTTAATAATAAATACTATTAATTGTACTTTTTAATTATTTTCAGTAAATACCCTTATTAATATAAAATATTTCATTAATTTTAATATTTTAGTTATGTTTAGGTTTTTCAGAAATTTTTGGATTTTTAATTATTTATTGGTATTTTTCATTATTATTCAATAATTTTTGCAATAAAATACTCTTAATAAAACTGGTTTTGCATTTTAAATTTTTATTAATTTTTATCATTTTTAATGAGTTCATTATGCACAATAAATGTCTCAACTCATAAAAATATTAATTAATTAAAAATGCATTAATACAAATTTATCTAATAATATTATTAAAACTATCAATTAATATTTTTATATTTAAATTTCTTATGTTTAATTAATTGTTGGTATTTTTTCATTATTATTAAGTAATTTTTGCAATCAAATATTGTTAATAAATTGGGTTATTCATTTTAAAATTTCATTAATTATTATCATTTTTAATGAGTTTATTATGCACAATAAAGGTCTCAACTCATAAGTTATCTAATAATATTATTAAAACTATCAATTAATATATTTATATTTAAATTTCTTATTTTTATTAGCATTTAGTAAGTTTGATTTTTAAGTGGAATTGAAACACATTTTTAATATTTACTAGGTTTTTTAATATTTATTTTTAGTGAAAGTTTAGTGGATTTTTAAATTAATAATTTTTTGATAGTTTAACCTCAAACTATTTATATTATTACAATTCTCTCTCTCTATCTCTCTCTTAAATGTTTTTTTTTAAATATAATAATAACATACATTAAAATAAGAGGCCTTGGAAAACACAAAGGTCTCTTTCTAATAGTGTGAAGCTTTATTAATCTAATCAAGATAAGCAATGATTACTGTTTTATATTTTTAAAACAAAAGAAAATAAGAAAAAATACAAAAAAATGGAGAAAATAGATAAATAGCTTCTTTTAAAGGAGAGACATGTTGACATGGACTGTCCAATTTTATTACATATATAGATAACACTTAATTGGTTACTACGTTTATAATTTCAGTTAATTGGTCAAAAATTTTTAAAATATTATATATTTCCGATAACATAACGGAACCATAAATAAAGAAGTCCTAAATGTAGCAAAAGATGCCAATAATTGTTTTTTTGGTAAAGGATGTAGAAGTCTAGAAGAGAATATAAGGAAAGGAATGGAGAACTGAATTTATATCTCCGTTGTGCTGGTTGCAAACTTGCAATGAGTAAGGGCAATCTATTACTTTCTTATCGATTAATAATTTGAACAAAAGAGATCAAAACATTCATTTTGGCCCAGCCAAAATCAATCCTGAAAATCGGACTTAAGCATGCTAAGACCTTTAGGCTATGTAAAACTTTACAAACCTTGTATACCCTGTCTTTTCTTTCCTTTCCCTACCTATTCCTTCAAACCAAATATAGCCTTATTTATGCCTTAATTTACAAGATTGCAATGAGTTCGTGGGCAATAAAAGGAGATGTGTCTATCTTTCTAGGCCCTCCGTAGATTCTTCAACGTGTTACTGACCTTTCAATCAATTTCATATGGTTTTCTTATTTTAGATAATAGAAAAAGACTATCACAATAAATAAAATGAACCAGATAATAGAAAAAGACCATCACAAATACAAATATGTACAGTGTAAATACATATAAAATAATACAAAATATAAGGTTTTACACTCTACATATTTGTATTTGTACTCCTACCAAACTGAGCCTAAGAAAATAGGAGAGACAACAAGGTTATTAGACTTGCTAAATGTGAATATCAAATTTTGGTCTTGGTATACAAAAAAAAAAAAAAAAAAAAAAAAAAAAAACAGAATAGTTACAGTTTGGCGATTGGAAAGGATTAATCACTTACGGAGAATGGTCGCTGGTGAAAGTATTTGTCGTTGAAGAAGAGTCGCAATATGTGACTAGGGGTTAGAGGTTAGGAACTTAAGCTGTGTTTAGTTTGAAGGAAAAAGTAGGGAAACAAAAGGAAAGGCAGTTTAAGAAAACTTATACAAGATTTATAAAAGTTTTCTTACATTTTCCTTGGAAAGGGGGGGGGGGGTGGTCGTAGTCTCACATATGAGAAGCCTAGATGCATGTTGTTGGAAACACAATGCTCTCCTAGCATGTTGGGATTGCATTGATAGCCATCGAGTTAGTAGCAGATCCGGACCAATGTCAGTCAAAAAATGTTTAGGGCCCACAACCACCTGTACAGCCATTGTGTTCAATTAACCTGAATTAATGCATGGACCCCGATTATTAACAAAAGGGTTCGACTAAGATATGGAAAATATATGATACCAACTGACCAATATATGATATGGAAAAGACATGCCAATATCTTTTGAGCGGCTGTTTGGGAGGGCTGAAACGAATAATCCTTCAAATGATTGATTAAGAGCAGGTTTGGGGCTCTCTCGATTTTTCACGAAATATAGCTTATAAATTGTTCGTCTGGGGGCCATATTGGAAGGTTGGAAACCACTGTCCTTAATCCCTCTCTGACAACTTCTCCCACTTCCTATGCAATTAAGCCAATTGTCAAGAGAAATATAGTTTTTATATGATTTATACAATTGAACAGAACAACTTCTTGAAGCAGTTGAGCTAGTCTAGCCGAACCAAAGCTTACCTTCAGTTCAACCCTCCCCAAAAGAGCCTTGAATTTTTTACAAAAAAAAAAGGTTGACACATTTAAGCTTTTATTGGGGTCACACGTAAGTGTTGCACTACAATCATATTTGTGTAGGATGAAATTTTGGAGGAGCAACCGTAGCATTTTTAACAAAAAAAAAAAAATGCTACCCACCACAAGTTGTTCCCACATCCATGGAATATTACAGTTATGCATTGGGAATATCTCCCTTGTCATTCATGAGGAGATATTCCCAATACACAGCAATAGTACTCTATGGGTATAAATGTAGGAACATTTTGTGGGTAACAGATCTGGAGTGAAACTTATCAATCTTTGATATCATAAATTAAATAATAAAAACATATAATATGAAAACAAACATAAAATAAAAAAATTATAAAAAAATGAACATATTTCTAAAATTATATATTTATCATATTAAAAAATGAAGTATGATAAATGATAGATTTTGTTGTTAATGAAGAAAATGACTAAAATACAACAAAAAAATAATAAATGTCTAGTATAAGACCCATTGACCAGGTCAAATGGTTTAGAAGTTCAAATCCAACTAGATAGGTCATTGGACCCTTGACCAAGTCAATGTTTTTTTGCAGGTGAATGGTTGAAGGGCGAAGTGGACCAGTAAATATGATTGGGTAATGGGTTGACTAGCCCAATTAGCAGGTTCCACCACAAGTTAAAAACACTTTTTTTTTTTTGTTTAACTTAAAAACACTAGTTGGCTATACCTTTTTGATTGGAAACGAAACACCTCACCTGTCAAATATAAAAACATGCCACTAGTGTATTTTTGGATTTAAAATAAAAGGCCATTATCTTTGCCTTCTACTGAACAATCTCAATGTAATGTTGCTGCCATATTCACAGTACAATGCAAACATAATTTGGACAAATGTTTTAAAAAGCAATTGGAAATGAAACCAATTTTCTATCCGATTGGTAGATTAGTAGTTCAATTGTCTAGATCAAATGGGTTAACCTACGACACCATAAATTACACATTAATTATGTATCTAAGGCTGTATTTGGCAGTGATGCAAACAGATCATCATAAATATATGTTTCAATTTGCTTCCATTTGGTACGAGTGTAAATTTCCATTAAAAAAAGACATAAATATGCAATCATATCAAACTTTGGTTTAAAATTAGAGCAAAGTTTGCTTTGAAAAAATTGATACCTACTTTGCTCTCATTTTTGGATGAAGTAAATAGTGTAACCAATTGCTCCTTTTTTTCTGGCACAACAAAAAACAACTTTCATTCAAACAGAGGAATTACAAGGAAGCTTCTTAATTGGTTGATCACGTAACAATCTTTTCTACCAATTTGGAGTCTGATCATGAAATTCCATGTTCTGTTTGTCTAATCTGGATTTATTAGTCATATAGTGCCTATGGAGTTCTTATCCTTTGTAATATATACAGCATATTACAAACTGTAAAAAGTTTCATGAGATGCAAAACTTCTTCATATAAGGCCTATTCATGCATGCATTGTAGTGTTTTTACCACTTGTTGGGCGTCCATAAAGATTTGAGTTTTTTCTCATTTGAGGAAATCAGTTTCCTATGAAGCAATGATCTCACACCAATCGAGTTTCCTGTGTAGGTATATTTTGAAAATTTAAAGAACAGTTAAGAACATTTTTGTCCTTTTAACATTTCTGTCAATTTTAAAGGTTGAATACTTTAAAAGGTATATAGTTAAATAGTTTTGAAAACCATAGTTTTATATATGATGTTTCCATTAATACCCCATCCATATTAGGCAAACAATGTGCAAATTAAAATGTGGTGTGGCCACATCAAATTAATTTGCATATAACATCACAATGGGAATTAAAATCAATGAGAAAGAAAACACCCTGAATGAACAAAGCTTTTCAACATGATAATCAATTTTTTAAGATAATAATTTATAAACAAAGCTTTACCGAGAAGAAGAAGTATATGTGATAATGATGTGCAGTGATGAACCTGAAGTGGGTATGGATGGAACACTCTCATTCCAAGCAATATGTTATAAACATCAAATTATTACCATATAAAGGAAAATACTTTAAATAATGAGGACAAAACAAAATAAAATTACAACACTTTTGGTGTATAAGATTGCAACCTCGAGTTGGGGTCATCTAAGAATTCCATATAGAGGTCTAATGGCAGGTCTCATTTTCCTAGTTCTTATTGGACATAAATTGATGAGTGCCCAAAAATGATGGTTTAGACTTCAGAGGGGTCGGGTGTGTCTACCACTGGCCCTACCACAAAGAAGTGCATTCTTCGGGATCGGATACTCGTCTCTGATAGACTCTACCGGTGAGTAAACGCGCAGATAAAATTGTTGTCCAAGGTACTGGCGTGCCCAAAACTCGGTTCTCAAGTTCCACATTCCCACATTATCCAATGCAACGTATATAGCTGTCCATGATTTGGGATACACCTGCAATTTCAAACGTGAATTGACAAATAAGATTCAATCCTTATTGTTCTTTTCTTTCAGCCATTCAATTTGTTGTTAATTAGATATTATTCTAATAGTTGCTGCTTCAATCTCATTGACTTTGTTTTACTGCGAATATTGAGGCCAGAGATTGAGCTCTACCGTGAACTTCTGAATGGGGATGAGTTATCGATTCAGCTTACCTGAGTGGTGCAGCGTACAATTGCATCTCTAAGATTGTACTGTTTCCTACTAGTTGGTGTCCACTTTCCTCCATCCATTCTGTAACACAAGATAACATAAACGAAAAGCTTAAATAAAACATGCTTAAGCATAACAAAGAATTTAAGAAAAAGGACGGTGTACTTTTCTGTTTGAGACCGAGTAATCAGAAGTATTTACACCTTTATATGTATACATTTATATACACGATTATTAGGTATTTAGGTATTAATGGATTGGATGGTCATAATCGGGTTAATCCGATCCCCATACTGTTTCAACCCAACTTTCAACCATTCCAGAAAAGGGTGTCTTTGATGAATTTGATCAAATTATGTATATAGGTATCTAAAAGGAACTAGACTGATGTTTGGTACTCAAGAGCTCTACGCTAGACATGATTAGATCCTTACCCCACTACGAAGAAAGAGTAGCCGTCAAGGTGCCAGCTTTGAACAATGCTTTCATGGTTCTCGAAGACAATTTCGACGAAAGCTCTAAAATCTGCAGGCATGACTGATGTGTCAAGATACCTCTGTCCTCCAGTGGGATTGTCGGAGATGCTTCCAAGGCGAAAAACACCTCCAATTTTGAAGTAGTCAGCGAGCTTTAGTGGCGTGTCAGCTGGGACGAAAGAAACACCGTTGACCGCATACCTCTGCTTGCCATTGATGAGACCTGCAGAGTTGGCAAGTCTAATAGTCCGTGTTATGTTGATGAGCCCATAATGGTATGAGCCTTGTGGGTTTGGCCTTGGTCCACTTGCCGTAAGGTTAGTCCTGACGAGTTTCATGAGGATTAAAATTAGATGCAGTTGTTGAAAGGGGGAAAATTAAGAAATTAATACATTCTTTATTATTATTATTATTATTATTATTATGGCTATTATTATATTTTTATTATTCTTTTATTTTTTGGTTGTGTTACATAAGTAAAGGGCAAAGTGGAAGGAACCTTATGGAGAGAGCCTGATTCAAAGACCAATCGATCTGGAAGGTAGGTCCAGCTGGGGGTGAGCCTGAAACACGACCGACGGAATTGCTGTAGTGTAGAATGGCTGTGGTAGTGAGGACGACGGAAGTGAAACGGGTTGACACGGCAATGTAATAGTCTTGAGCGGGCTGATCGGCTGTAACGAGAACTGAGTAGGACTGGCCCACATGAACATCGAGGGATGAGAACACAGTCTGTAAAGTGTGTGTTCCCTCAACTTCGACCAACTTCATCTTGTGGCCCTGGATGCGGAAGTTGAGTGAATTTTGCAGCCCCACATTTGATATTCGAAACCTATAAGTTTTCCCTGCGCGCAGAAATGTCATCGTTATTATTTATTACAACCGTCTGATCTATTGTGTTGATTTCCATTGTATCTTCTCGTAACTACCCAAAAGAAAATGAAATATATATAAAGTTATAAACCATTCAATGCAGCCACTTCAGAAGTACGTACCTTGCTCCACGGTGAAGGAAGCCCCATTTGGCCCGCGCCCATTGATCAGAATCCCATCAGGAAAGTGTAATCTTTTACCACGATCCAGTTTGGCCTTCAATGCCTAAAATTAAAAAGAAAATGCAGATTTGTTTATCATTTTCTCAATAGCGAAAGTAAGTTTATTTGCTATAATTCAAAGATTCTATTATTGTAGAATATGGACTACGACGTCAAGGCAACAAACCGATCCTACTACATCACTTCTATTATAGCCATTCAACGAGTCAAAAATAAAACCATGTATACCAGTCACACTTGCTCCGTTGGTTGCCGATAACAACATCAAGATATGATCCCATTAATCCTGACATTTCCCTTCCGTTTCTTTATTGGTAGGGCTTGTTTCTCTTCTACCTTTATTGAATCAAGAATGTAAAAGTACAATATCGAAATGAGAAAGGTAGTTACCGTGTGACTGGCATTGTACCAATCTCCAATGAGAACAGTAAAATCACCGGCGGGATCTGGGAAGGGGACAGGGATTCTGGGACGACTGAGGATCCTGATCCCGCCGAACCCACCAGCGGCCTTGTGGAAAGCAAGAGAAGGGAAGTAGAAGAAGCTTCCGATTTGGTCCTTCACCTGGAGAACGTAGGTGAAGTTCTTTCCTGGAGGGATTGGACAGTTAGTTCCATAAACCCCATCTTGCCATGAATTCCTCCTTTGTTGAATTCCATTCCTGTTTTTCCACATACACCAATTACTTCAAATAACTCATCCGGAGTGTTGGTTCATAATTAACAGTCTAATACATGCTAAACTATACTAAGATTCTTTTGTTTTAATAATCATAACTAGTAACCTACCAATTACTAAATTGTTTATGGTTACGTTCCATTAAGGGATGTTTAGTCGCCAAAAAAAAGTAAGGGGTTGTTGATAATTTCTTGCTAATTGCCATGAAGAGAAACAGCAGAGAAAAGCATCTATTGATGAAGCAAACGTGTTACAGTAAAAGTTGGTAATTTTTCTCTTTAGCCAAAAGCCAAATAGGCAATAAAATTTGTAACTAAAAGGTAATTCCCTCCTAACGGGATTTCCTAGAGATGTATGGCTGCAGTTCACGGCGGGTAGAGAGTGGGTAGGAAATCTGGGTTTCGTTCCCTCTTATGGCACAATATCAACATGGTCTTGTTACCTGTTTAAGTTACAGTTTTAAGCAGCTTGGCTAGTCCCAATACCTATCATGAATGTGAAGTAAGTGAAAATTGAAAATTCCCAATTAGTACGGTTTAGTGTCACTTTGGTCTCCGAATTTTAAAATGTGACAATTCAGTGTCTGAACTTTCAAAACATACCAATCCAGTACATGTCATTAACCAGTTTGTTAATCAGCCGTTAAGTGGTATTTGAAAAGATATAAATGCCCTTCAAGTATCATCTAATTCTCTCTATCAATCATCCAAATGTTGATAAAAAATAAACAGTCCCAAATCCTTGCTTTCTCTTTTCAGGAAAGTTGGGGTCACGTAAATAGAAGAGACAAGGATGGTTGATAAAGAGAATTAGATAACATTTGAAGGACATTTCTATCTTTTCAAAAACCACTTAATAGCTGGTTAGCAGACCGATTAACAACAGTTACTAGATTGGCACATTTTGAAAATTCAGATACTGAATTATTGTATTTTAAATTTCAAACACCAAAATGGCACTAGGCCCAAAGTACAAGATAATAATTAAGAATTTTCCCATTACATTATTAGAGTATATCACACCATGACATAATAGTTGAGATGCTCACTCGCATCACCCACAACCACAAAGTGGAGGTGTGGGATTGACCCAACGTGCACATAGCACTGTCCCCAACCCTTTAATCACTACGCTAACCCGTAAATTTTTTAATTTGGGTCTAGGTTTTTTTGTCTAAACCCAGCCCAGTCCAGCCCAGGCTTGGCCCAATACTCTAGGCCCAGTCTGGTATAATATAAAGCAGGTTATTATTGTCTATTGACACCAGTTGATTGATTATCAGTTATTTTTTTGGGGTATCACGTCTTTCAAATATCATTATCGGACTCAAATATCTATAATTCCGGAAAAGAAATTCAAATCCTGTTATCCAAAGCCACCAAATTCCAAAAATAAAATATTCTGCCATGGCCACTTCAGTCTCACGTGTACAAAGATTTTATTTGGTTTAGCTATAAAGGAGTTCACATCTGCGCCCCCACAAAGAGTAGCGCCGATCTGATCCCGTTATAAAGAAAACTGCACAGTAGAAAAAAAAAGTTTTACTGTTACTGGCAGCAGTAAGACTTTATGTAATTCTCCCGATTCTACTTAATATATTTAAGGTTGTTTTTTAAAAAAATAAGTAGAAAAAGAAACTAATTATCATGTAACAATAACACATGAATTTAAAATTGCATGGTGTTTGAAAGAGTGTGGGCGCTTTTTAGGACTGATTTTTAAGAAAAAACACCTATGTTTCTACGACTCATTTTTTTATAAAAAAATGCTTCTGCTATGTAGACAGTGAGCAATACTATACTGTTTGGTAAGGTGATTTTTATCACCATTTTTCATGTATGTACTAACAGATAAGCACCACATGGGATACATATCAGTCAACCGTTGGGGGAAACAATTCACTGATGCATGCATCAGTGAGGTCCCGACTCTCAAAACATGCCCGATTTTTTAATAATCAGCTGAACCAAACAATAAGATACATAAACGTTTATTAAAATGCCTATATGGATCCAATGTAACACCGTTTTTTTAAAAAATGGCCACGGTTCCAAACATCCCCTTGAACGACAGCAATTGGGTTATGTAATGGGGGCTTCTCATTTTGGTTGCTATTTACTTCGGGTCCTACTTAAATGAATTCAAAATTTCATAGTGAGGGCTGGGATGAGGCCCATTATACCACTCACTAATGGGCCCTACATTGGAGATTCTACCAAGTTAGTTATGGCTGTCTACTCCACTAAACTGGGAAGTTTTATTGAAACCGTATCATTTTAGTTTGCAATGCCAATTAAAGTTAGTGAGGAAAACTCTTCTTACTGATTTTTCTTATTTCTAAAAATTGTGCTTACTAACTACTAAATTTAGCATGAATCCCATTTGGTGTTATTACAATAATTTATCAGTTGAGAACAAGAAAATAAAAAAAAAATTAATATCTTCTTTCTCCTTGTTATGGTGGACAATACTCACCTTTTGGGAATCTTGTTCAAGAACCCACATGGAAAAATAATTAATTTAACAAAATAAAGATGAAAAATGAAAATAAAAAAAGATAGTTTGGTTTTGTAAAATTTATAAAAATAACAGAAGAGAAATAAAATGTTTAGATAAACTATTTCATCTCTAATGAAATTATCCTGAACAATGACAACAATCAATAAAAAGGTTACTGAATGTCTGTATATAAAAAAATGTTTGGATTTTTTTGGTGGTACAAAAATTAAATAGGGAGGACTTAGTAGAAACAATAAGTCTGGTTGGAAAGAAACTTGTGCGAAGAATTTGTTAGAACCCTTTCAGTAATTTCCCTATAAAATCTTGATTAGCATTGGACGACAATCCAGAAGGTACAAGCGAACTCTATTAGGCAGATAATGAATGGTAGAGATGCTGGCGGGACTGGATCTAGTAGGTACCATATAGTAAGCAAGTTTAACAAGCACTTGATAAATATTCTGGCAAGTGTTAAAAGGTGGTTTTTAATCTTTGGGAAAGTTCCGTAACCTGAACTTTGGGGGTGGTATTAAGTCAGTACCCGAATTTTTAAATTTACAGTATCTAAACTTTTAAAAGTGTCAAGTTGATCTTTGTCTTTAATTAATTGTTAGTTATCTGTTGAAAATGTTAAAACTACCCTTAAAAAAGACATTGTTCAATGTTTTCTACCTTGAGACTGAACTGATTATCTTCAAAAAAAAAAAGAGAAAAAACATGAAATATAATAGAGAAAAACAATAACCGGAAGCAAAGCAATAATTAGACAATAATGTTTTTTCAGCTCTAAAGGTAGAAGCAAGGTTCAAAATATCGATACGCCCAATATGCCCATACCGGCGCATCAGGCGAATCGATACTTTTTTTTTTTTCTGAAACTGGTTTAGGGCTCCTCCACCCTCTGAACCGGTTAGACCTTCGATACACCCACTATAGGGGTATATCAGAGGGAGCCCAGAACAATACGTATCGGTCGATACGGGTCGATATGTATCGATACTTTAAACCTTCAGTAGAAGACAATGACTTCATTAAATCTAGAATCTCAAATACCTCAATCGGTTCAATCTCAAACTAAAATACAATAAATATTGTCTTCTTTTGAAATTTGAAATATAGTTTTAATATTTTCAATAAATAACTGACGGTCAGTAGGGTCCAATTTGACATTTTTTGAAAAATATAATTTCCTTTAATCCTTTTTAAAATAAACTGAGGGTATATTAAAGGATAGATGTCAAAAAATTTCTAACTGATCACTGAACGTGCTTACAAGTTTATGCCTATACCTGATCCGCACCACTACCACTTGAGTGGGACGTACGGCGTCTAACACCACCACTAGAGGTGTTGCAGACCATTAGAAACCAAGTAAGTGTAACCAACACGTCTTCCTCAAAAGTCTAATTCCATAAAACATCGCACTAATAATAAGGAATTAAACTAAATTAAATGGAGTCGCAAAGACACAGAGAAGCAGATGATTCCACCTCAGATTCGAGAACACGACAACTAAAGTGCAAATTCTCAATAGCTTTCGCTTGGCGACGAAAAAAGAGTCGAAAAAGTAATGTAGATCCGGCACTCATTTTTGTCAGAACACAGCGTAAACAAAAACTAGTAGATAAATAATAAAACAGTAAAGAAGAGGATTCATGGCATTGGCGGTGGTTGGACTTGAGAGAGGAGAGAAGATGGAGAGAGATGCTTCACTAACCAGGAGAGAAGAAATGGCTCCGGCAAACTGTTGTAAACGTTTATGATGAGATTGTCGTTTGTAACGGAGTAGATATCAGGACCGGGAAATTGTCCATTGATCAGTATTCCCTGTAACACACATTAATTCAAGGCAATCGTATTAGCTAGTGAGCGATGGACAAGACTTCAAGGAAGCGATATTACTGAACTCATGGTTGCTACTTGCTACAATAATAACCTAACCTGTTGGCGAACGCCGAGAGGATAAATGTCGCCGTACGTAACATTCCAGGTGAAGAACCTGTACGGATCCTCGGCCTTAACAACGGCGAAAAGCAACACCAAGACCACACAGAAGAAGACGACACGAACCGCGCCTCCCGTTAAATTGAGTGGCATGTTTATTCCTACTTAATTTTGTTCCTATTTCTCGCGGATGAGAGCAGGAGAAAGGGAGGAGACTCCAGAAAAGGAAGGGTGGCGCTGGCCGGTGGGAAACCTTCCTCCTTATATAAATGGAAATGGGAGTGGAAGTGGATGGAGGCCTCGTGAGATTGACAAAGTGCGGTGCGAACAAGGAGAGAAACTGAGAAAGAGTGGGGCCAATAAAGGCTAAAGGCGAGAGAAACTGAGAAAGTATGTCTTCTTGGGCAGCTGCTACCAATAAAACGCTCTCAATTGTGTCCCAATAACCCAGTGCAGCTGTACATTGGGAACATCTACTGATTTACCTTGGAAGATATTCCCAGTGTGCGGTGTGCGGGTGCAGTTGCCCATTGGGAGATATTAGACAGCGTATTGTAGGTATCTATCAGATCCAAACGCCTTCGGTGTTGGGACCGGAGATGCAAACTGGCGCTGGCCGCTGGAGAGCGGTGGTGGGATCCACATTCTGTTCCAATCAACCAACGGTGTCCCTCACATGCTTTGCGTTTTTCTTTCTTGGCCTTTTCCTTTTTAGGATTTCCTTGTCCGTGATATTCGACGCGACAGATGGAGTGTTGTGACTTGTGAGATTTTACTTGCCAAATCCCAACGCATTTATCATGTAATTTTTTTGTTTGTTTGTTGCGGGAGTGTTTTGGGTTTGGTTATTTTATCACGTAATTTAGCGTACCCATGGAATTTATTAGTCTGATGAGTCGACAAAGTGATGTATGATCAAAATCAAAATAGTTAAATAGTTAACTCAATGGTATGTAATCGTCGGATGACAGACACGATTTTTTGGGGGAACCACACTCCCCACAGGAATCATAAAATCAATTGAACAGGAGAATGACTAATCAGTTCAGGTTTAGAATTTTGTAATCCCACCGTATAAGAAATGAATCCTGACTGTGAATTGATGTTAAATTTATATTTTTTGATTAATCATTCATAACTTTTACTTTTATTTATTTATTTTTCTTTTTTTCTCAAAGTGCTAATTGCGGGACTTGATTCCATGTTAATGCTGAAATAACTCAGTTAACACACCAAATTGGTTATCATTCAGCTAACACACCAACCCAGCTAATTTTCCCCTTTATAGGTAGTATGCGATATTTAGGGAGGGCTATTAATAAATTATGGGAAATTATCATTCAAAATTCTGCATTGGATTACAAAGTACTTAATCCATTAACCCTTGAATTTAAATAGTTAACTCAATGGTAGGGTAAGTGTTAGAAAACGTACTCCATAACTTCTCCCAGTCTAAGGCCCAGAAGAATTCTGCCCACGTCTACCCACATAATATCACCAGTTATGAGACGTTCCCAGTAGACTGGGATAGTGTGTTGTGGGTAAACGTGGGCAGGAGATCCCGAGCTGTATCGCGAACTTCCTTCCATGACAAAAAAATCCACACGGAGCCGGAGCTGTAAATTGAGAACAAGAAATCAAGAATACATATGATACCTAAAGTCCCAAAGGACCAACGAACGGCCACGATGCAAACATCTGCTGACCCAAAGCTACATCTGACATCATATTAGAATTTAGGCTGAAAAGAAAAGTGAAAACCAAAATGGTTTTGGTGCGAATGCGATGTGTCACAGCTCCTCTTACTTAGCGCGTCAAATGATGTACCCGGTAGGCTGTAACCCTGCCAGGACTAGTTCGCTTAAAACAAAGACAAAGATTAGAGACAGTAATTTGACAGACATAAACGCGGCAACCGCAACTCCCATCAAACGTGACAGAAGGTGAGACCGAGGGAAGCGTAACATGATAAGTTTCATATGCATTCTCCATCTACATAACATAATGAAAGTATGACCAAGAGAAAGAGAAAGAGAGAGTTTTGGTTAAGTCCACGTTATAGCCACCCCATGTGATGTGAACTCTATGCAACATTAACGGTGTCGAATGCAAGGTTGTATACTATGAACAACTTGTGTAACAGGGAGGCCCCCGTGGACGGCACGGACTGCCAAACGCAGACAGTTCACAGCTTGGGACCTTGGGACAAGACTCCTGAGTCCAGATCGTCCCGGCCGCGGCTTTAATGGACCGAGCTGGCATTGGTGGACTTTCATACTTGTATGATGGATGATAGGCTACCAAGTGGGCCAGCTGGTGGAAGTGTGCAACTAAATTTCCATTCCATTTTTACCAATACTCACTCGGAATTTGAACGACGTGTCCGTGTTTCTAACCCCTACTAATTTCAAATTTCCGTATTTTTCTGTTCCAACTGAAAGGGAAATATATGAAAACCTATACAAGGTTGTTTTTCTGTCTTTTACTCCCTACTGTTTCTTTCAAATCAAACACAACATAAATAGAATCAGCAAAATGAAAGAGTGCATTTGTGTTATGGTCCCGCGCGTAGGATTCAGTCACGGGTCGGCCCACGGTGCAAAGGCACTGTTTCCTCTTGCGCCCTCCCTTGCGTGCAGACCCTATTGCGGGACTAAATGGGTGATTTGTCCAAAAGACCACCCGAACTCTCCCTTGGGGTGATTTGTCCAAGAGACCACCCGAACTCTCCTCACTATTTTCTTGGCTAGAAAACTGAATGCCTTATTTCAATTCGTAGCTCCTTAAATAAGAGATTACAGAAGAAAATTCCTTTTGGATTCGGCTAGGCTAGGGTAATCCAACTTAAACTAAAACTCCTAATGGTAACACAACTCCTACTTAAGAAGATAAGACAAGGATAAGGGATATGGATAAGATAAGGATAAGGTAAGTTGGCGGCGAGTTGGCTTGACGTGTCCAGATAAGGGTGGGCCCACCCCTATGAGCTGTCATGTGGGCCCCGCTCTGCTGCTGCTGCCGGGTGTGTGCACGCGGCTCATGGTGCCGCTGCCGCGCGGTGCATGCGCGCAGTGCTGTTGCCGCGCAATGCGTGCGCGCGGCTCATGGTGCCGCTACCGTGCGGTGCCGGGCGTGTGTGTGGTGCGTGCTGTCGTGCAATGCGTGCGGTGCGCGCTGCTGCCTGGCGGTGCGTGCTGCACGCCATGGTGCCACTGCCGTGCGGTGCCGGGTGGATGTGCGGTGCGCGCTGCTGCCTGGCGGTGCGTGTTGCGTGCTATCGATGTGTGTTGCTGTGCGGCGCTGCCAGACGGTGCCTACTACTGTGCGGCCTGCCGTGCGTGCTGCTGTTTATGACTACTCCGCAGTGCGCTACCAGATGGTATGCCCATAACAATTTGGACTTGTTTCTTTTTTTCTTCAAAAAGCTGAAACTTCATTAGGATATAAAAGAAGAAGATTGCTGCTGCTACTTTCTACTAGGGCCTGGGGGTTTGTTATATTTACATGCATTGTACGCAAATTCATGATCAACAGTATTTACTGTTTTGCTAATATGATTTATACATATATTATCAAAATCAAGTAAAATATTTCCAAGTTGATCCCAAATATGTTACGGATTCCATTCTACATCGCCTTTTTCCCGTATAGCTCATACCACATTCGCTGAATCACAAAAAACTAAAGCTGATCTGATTTTAAGCCTATTTGCTGCCTTTAACCCTTCCATTACTGCTCTCCATTTGGCCTGGGCTGCTGATGAAGCTTTTGACTGTTCGACCTTCAGCATGTACAACTAATAAGTCATTAGCTAGTATTATGAAATCAATAGCGGCATTTACTGTACCTATTTTGAAGGCTCCATCTGTAAATATCACGTGGTCCAGTTGTTGATAAGAGATTGTTCTCCTCTTTTATGTTTTCTCTGTTAAATGTGGACTTGGGCTCATAAATGAATCGACATTTCAAGTAATTGGGCTGGGTGTGGAGTGAGTTGGTGATGGGCTTTTGCATTTCCCATGTCCCAAATGAGCCTAAAAAGATAAAGAAATTTTGCAATGTAGTTCTTCTAAGTGTGTATTGGGAGGTAGCTTAGCTTGGATTCAATCCAGTATGATATATATTGATTAAGGTGCCTATTCTAGAGGTCATCTGGGTTTATTCCTATTTGGCCAAGGAGCCACACAGCTTTGGCATAGTGACATGAGAAACCGTGCACCAAGATCTTCAACTAGGAGAAAGGTCAGAGGACCGATGAGTTGTTCCCTAGGTAGGTATTCCGACGCTCAAGTCAGTAGGGTAGAGAAAGATGTGGCCAGGTCGAGCAGAGCAGGTGGAATTATTGTTGGTCCAATGACGGAGAGATAGTGTAGAGAGGTATTCAAAGAGTGTTCTTCCAAAAAGCCCCTTACCTTGAGCGGGGAATATCTACCTATAGTTGGGTGTTCATCTCTCAGATGAGTAGGGCTTTCGGAGTTGTCGAGATGAGGGTGTCCGTTGAGGTCTTCAGGAGGTTTCCTCTTCATCGACAAAGTCCACTTCCTTGTCCGTGCAGGATACTCCTTCTTAGTTGTGCACTTTCGTTGCACGTGGCGTCAACGTGGCCTGAAAGAGGTGGTGGCCGCGGAGATTGCCACGTAGCATCCTTGGCCACCTCACATCACCCGAACACTACTCCCCCAGTTCCAAAGTTGATGAGTGTAGTGCTTAGCCACAACTAGGTGTGGAAGATTTCTACGATCCTCGGTTGAGGAACTTCAATTTCTTCGAGTTGACTGGCCCAGAGTAAGGCCAACTTGTTGGGCAGACCGGTCAGTTCAACGCTCGTGTCATTTTCGATATGGATCGAGGACGAGTCGTTTCGTCTTTCCAAGGTCACGTGCGTGTGAAGGGTGGCGTAGAATCGGCGCCGTTGATTTGGTCTGATCTAGACCATTGGTCTTCCTCATAAAAGGGGAGGTGTCAAGTCATTTTACTTAGTCATTTTGAGTGAGCTTTCTTAGGAGCTCGGCAAGATTTAGTCCTCGGCTAGTGTTTTAAGTGTTCTGCGGTGTACTCTTCAATAAGATGTCTTCATCCTCCTTCTTGTCTTCTTGTTCGTCCTCCTCATCTTAGATCTTGTACGTCAAGTAGTAAGTCCTATCCAGGGTCTCATCCCAAGGCTATTGCACTTGCGGTCCGCGAGACTGATGCCTACAGGGCCGAGGTTGATGGGCTTAATGGTGAGGGTGTTGTGGTGAAGGAGGTCGTGGCCTTTTGGGAGGCCGAGGTCGGGGAAACCAATGAGGCCGAAGTAGACGTTATGTCAGAAGAGGGGCCCAATGCC